AAAGGGGGGAGGGGTGTCAAGATGTATGTAACGTATTTTAAAAAAAGTTCACGAAAAAAATTTGTTTACAAATTCACACCAAAAACATTTTTTTTAAAAATTTTCCACTTTTTTAATGATTTATGAAAAATTATCAAAATAAAATAAATTATGAACATTAGGGGGGGGGGGGGGGGGTTGTGAGTTGTAATATATTGTAACAAGGGGGGAGGGGGGGGTGAAAAAAGTCGTTTTTTTGCGTATCGTAATAAGTGAACGGCCCATTGAGGAAATTAAAAAAAAAATCTAATCAGTAATGTAGGGCAATGATGGAATTGGTGGATATAACGCATTTGGGTATTTATATGCTCATGAAGCACAACTTCTAAAATTTATTGTTAAGCACAATATTTTCCCTGAACATCGCTTCAAGCTTATATTTTTCATGTAATTTTCAATTAAAGCTCACAAATGGTCACAAAGTTTCACTTCCAAAATAGTAACAAATACGTATTAGGTTAAAATACTTAAATTAAATGTTTGTTTAATATTATTCAGATTTCGACCCAATTTTTAACTTGTGTGGATAAAACAATGATCAAGTCATATTTTCTGTATAAGCTGGGTCATGTCCTTTTTAGAATTTCAAGCTTTAAGAACACATTATATTGATGATCGCAATTACAGCCCAACTTTGGGGAAGTCAAGTACGATAAAGTCAAGAGTTAAAAAAAACTCAATGTTTTCTTTTAAAACTTAAAATCAGGATAAAGAGGATCGGGGAGGGGTGCAAAAAAAAATCCATAAAATTTGGTGACTCCAAATAATTTTTTTATTAAAACATTTAAATTAAAAATCACAACACATTGGAACTTTTTCACAGCACACCAGTTTGCCACGATGGTTCAACAGATACTGATATGATTTCATAACATTGTCTTATCACTAATTTGAACAGGAGCTTAGTTTGGTCATTTTAAATTTAATTTTCAAATTTCTGATAAAAGAACTCAATTTTAAAATGTCACAAATTCTAATTCTAAAGAAAACAAATAAAAAACAGCACAAACATCCCGTTGTGTCATTCAGCAAGCAAATCTTTCCAAAAAATAAAATTTTTGAAAATAAAAAATCTCAAAAAAAAAAACAAAATTCAAATAAATTCTCAAGAAATGATTCCATTCTTAAGAATTTAATCGAGCGTCATTAAATGAATTACGATAAGCTGAATGTTCTTGTTTACTCGTCAACTGAATTTAAAGTTGATAAAGAATTTTTCCTTTTGAATCATCAACAATCATATGATTGTCTCACATTCAAACTATCTTTATGGGCGATTATGCTAATTAGATGGAGCAAAATTCTCGTGAATATAAAGCGAAAATGTCGATGAAAATGAAAAAAAACGTAAACAAAAACAAATCGCAAAAAAGTCGGTTTGAGGCAGTAAAAAAAAGAGTGTTTGGAAATGCTGATGACGACATGAAGGTGTTGTGACCAAAATATTTTTCGAAAAAAATCCATAAATTTAATTTAAAATATTTTCATAGCTTTGTTTTGTCGTCATATTTTTTTACCTTATATCAGGCATAAGAAAATGTGTAACAAACTCATCACTAAAATCCGCTTCTTAATTTATCGAATGGAGCCAGCATTCTTTCATTTTTCTGTTATGCAAATTTTTGCTGCTCTCTTCTTCTTCATCATGCAGATCGAAAAGAAAAAAAAAAGTTGAGACACCGAGATAAGCTGGGATGATTTGACACATTCTTTGTGTTATTATTCAAGATAAACTCTAAAAATATCTCTCTCTTTTTTTTTGGACGTTCTTATTTGACTTTTATTGGCAATATTGTCTTTGACGCCAAAAATCGTAAAAAAAAAATTAATATTTTTCTGCTGGGCAATGCCTAGGCTAACTTAAATGTGAATGCGAAGAACCAGATGAAAACAGGATGTTTGTTGCGCAACCTCATAAATTCGTTTACACTTTAAAGGTAACAACATTTGATAATCAAGACGCCACGCAAGAAAATTCTGGAAGCTTATCAAAATTCCATTTTTATTATCAAGTCATTAAACTCTTTAAGCTACGACCCTGGTGAATATTTTGTCAGAATTTTTTTTATTGCTGATTTTTATGTTCCTTTCTCAGCTTCTTGGAATTAGCCTGCGCAAACCAGAAAAGTGCAGTCCCGATAATCATCATGTTAAGCTTATTATTGACAATAAAATATCCATGGAATGCGTTACAATATCTCTTGTAAGTGGCGCTCGCCATAAGTTGGCAATTTATGATTCTTTCTTTATCTTTACTGCGAATTTACTTGAAATTTCACGCGTATATCTCGTCGCGATTTGAGCTTGCACATTATTAATTTTTATGGCTTTCAACTGACCGCATTTTTGGAATTTGAGCATATTTTCAGTTCCAGTTTTGATTTTAACATGGAAATGGAGGCTTGTCGTTGATGTTTTTTGATGGTGAAATCTATAAGGGGCCGTTCACTTATTACGTTCGCATTTTAGGTGTTGAAAAATTGTAACAAAATGTAACATAGGGGTGGGGGTGTGAAGAAGAATGTAACGTTCTAACTGTCGCCTGTCTTTTAAAAAAAAGTTCACGAAAAAAATTTGTTTACAAATTCACACCAAAAACATTTTTTTAAATTTTCCACCAGGGGGGGGGGGGTGAAAAAAGTTGTTTTTTTGCGTAACGTAATAAGTGAACGGCCCCTAAGATACTTTGATTGACTTGTTGGATGTTGTTATGGTTCTAAGAATTTATTACAATTGAGGAAGTAGTTGAGATCAGCTTCGATCCACATCTAAAAACAAACACGAGTGATATAAGGTTAAGTTTGGCCAGGACACAATGTATTTGCTTCTTTTGACTGACTTTGAAGATCACCAATCAAAAACAATAATTCTGAAGACTAATAAAGGAAGCTCATCTGAAAAATTCGACGAGTTCTCTAGCCCTTTTCCCCTTCCTCTCTGCACCCAAACTTCTTTAAATTACATTTAAATCTTAAAACGTTTAATCAATAAAATCTCTATAATAAACACTCGACATTATCTCCACAACAAAGTTGCAGATTTCCTCATGCAAGTACTTTCCATTGCACTTATTATTTCATGATGTCAAAAATGAGGCACTTAAAATGCATGTTAAATTGTTTGAAGCTATTTATAATTTGCCATATAGATTACCATAACTGAGTCTTAAGTTGAAGTGCACTTCTAGAAGCCTCAATACTGAGAGTTTACTTAAGTTGATGAGGTACTTTTTGCGCAAGTATCCTTAGTGACACATGCTATAAAATGATATTTTACCATTTATTTTGACGTAATCATGACGAATGTAGGAATTTTTAATTTATTATTGTCATCATGAATGTAAATACCACAGCGTGACTTGTCATGCTTTTATCGTTCTGATGACATCTTCGAATTTTGGAGATGCTGTGTTGCTGAATGATCACCGATCAGATTTAAATTAATTTTGAATTGTATGCAGGTACAAGAATCGAACCTAGATTCTTAACTAATATTTTTCAGGAACACAAGGTAATGAAATAAAGCATTCAATAATTAAATATATCCTTAAAGTGCCTTAAAATCAATAAAAATTCAATATTGCATTAAAACATTCCAGACATGATTAACTTGCCAGAAATTCAGTAGCTCAAGCAGTTAGATAATCAGATAAGCAAAACCTGCACGAAACTTGATCGTATATTTTCGAATTCCAAAACATATCACAAAGAAAAAGAATACAGTCACAGTGATGCAGCACATTCGAGACAGAGAAAATGAAAACTTTCAAAAAATTTCATCATCCAGACTCTCAATTTCCTCACATTACTTTCGACACAGAATTTCTGCAATGGGATTGGAGATCAAGAGCAAAGCATTGGAACTAAAAATAGAAATATTCGATGATTCTGTTTTGTTTACACATCTTTTTAATACCAACGTGGTCGTTTCTTTGAGAGGTAATTGACGTAGGTCGTGATGCGTATATTCCATACCGTGATTATTAACAAACGGAAAAATGTAAAATAAAAAAAAATCGTCATCGTCCACAAATGTTTTCTTATCAGTCATTTCAATCTTTTCTTCTTTATTTCACATTAAATTTTTTTTACATAACATGTATCTGCTGTATCCCTGTCAATCTTAATAAATACACAAATGAGTTCAATAATCCACTAAAAATTGTCACTTTAAAATTTAAAGCTGACTTGGCTGAAGAAATTTTATACGCAGCAGAAAGAAATGTAATAAAATATTTCTTCCAAAAAGTAAAATAAAAGTGGTGTTGAGCGGAGTTGAAGGAATGTAAAGGAGGAGAAAGAAACTGCTTTATTTGGCCATCTCCATGGTGAGCTTGGCAACATTAAATTAACAAGACATGAAAGAAGAAAAATTGTTAAGATAAAAATACCTCATGAGAGTACCTAAAAATAGAATTTCCAGTTTTTTTCCGCTTCTTTCTCTCTCTCCAATCCTTTGACCGATTCGATATTTTTTTTCGGTACAAGAAGTTAAAATAACTTGATATAAATGTTTTTTGGCGCCAACATGGTGTTACTTTTTCCGTTGCTTTTATTATTGTTTAATTGTACGTGCCGACCAAGGAATTTTTATTTATTTTTTTTTCTTCTAAATTTGTCATGCTGATTATGGCTGAAATCGACAATTTAAATTATTAATAACTGCTACCAAGAATCGATTTTAAAGAATTCCCAAAAAAATAATATTCCATTATATTATCAAGTGGCTATGCGTTGACGCCAAGAAAATTAACAGCAAACTGTCCAGCTTAGTCGAAATGCCGCAAAAATATGTTTTTATTCTCGTAATAATCAAAACAGATGAAAATGCTTCAAACCTGTATTTTTTTTTCTTCTCATCACCAAAAAATATTTTTTTTTTCGGCGACGCGAATTTCATCCTCTCTCACTCTCGCGCGACAAAAAATTTTCGTATATAAGATTCTGTGATCAGTATGAAAATTCAACAGTAACAGTTTGAAAACTGAATTGAAAGCTTATCAAAAAAAATATATATTATTATTTTGAGCACAGACTCTTAATTTGAGTGAGACATTATCAATTGAAAGTGAACCAGAAAGGTTATCGGACATAAAAAAAAAGTTCTTGAAAAAATATATAAAAATAGAAATAAAGCATTCAAAAATGATCAACAGGTAAGAAGAGTTTTAACGATTATTTAGTGACTATACAAGTTAAATATCAATGTTTGAAGTATAAAGGTTCTAAAACTGTATTTACTTTCTGTCAACAGATTCGTCATTATTTTCTCAATATGCCTATACACCATTTGCGCAGCACCGGCATCTCGCACAATTGACAATACAATTAGCAATTATGATAAAATTACACATCAATTAATGCCACAAAATATGCGTGAAACACTTCCTGGTGTCTTGGACATTACGAAAAAATTGACAAAACTTTACTTGAGCGGCAAACAGATTCGTCTTACATCTGATATCTTTACACAAGCTGAACAATTGGAGATGATTGACCTTAGCAATGGAGAAATTGCTGAAATCGAGAGTCAGACATTCCATGGAACCAGTAAATTGAAGCGATTGAATTTGTCTGGAAATAGAATAAAGACACTCCCAGCCAATGTTTTCGGACCAGGCAATGCCCTCAAAGAACTTGACTTGGCAGACAATCAAATCGACAAAATCAGCCGTGCCTCATTCAATAATATGCAGCATTTGAAGAAACTTGACCTGCGCAACAACAAATTGACAAATCTCAGCGGACCAATCTTTGGTGATTTAATTAATCTTCAGGAACTCGACTTGACTGGGAATCCAATCAGATACTTGGACGAAGAGTTCTTTGCCTCATTACCAGCTGGCCTTGCACTCAATTTTGACGATCAGTTCCTCGATTTTAAATCACTTAAATTAGTGGATCAATGGTCTATATAAATCATATAAGAACAAGAATTGTTAAGTTGCCAAAATTCTCATCAAAAAAAGTTCCATTGATATTTTTTGTCATTAGAATTTTCATCAAACCTTTTTTTATATTGTTAATTTATGAAATCATGCATTTAAAATTGTAGACATTTAAGACTCAAAAATGATTTGTGAAAAATAAAAAATTATTTATTAAGGGATCTTTAAAAGTTTAAGAACCAAAAATTAAATTAAATTTGTTATTTTTATTTCTATAATTTATAGCTTCACAGTCCACAGTCCATTTCCCATTTTTTTAATCTCAATCGTCCCCATTTGCTCGACATATTTTTCTTGTATTTTATGGTGTATATTTAAAATAATAAATTCACAGAAAAATATGTAGGGTGCAATGAAACAATCGTGAGACTTCTTATATATAAATTGATTGTTAATTTATGTCTTGAAGGAAAATGGAAAAATTTTTCACATTTTTATTATTGAAAAAAATTTACATCAATTTTTCAAGCTGTTTTGGGATTAGGGGCAACTAAGTTTTTGGATTTCTTTGGGTATGACTCATGAAATTGGAGGTTATGACTGTAATTTGGGAAGGAAATATTGAGTAATTTGAGGGATTTAAACCTTAAAAATTGTAATTTATTTAAAATGTTCCAAAAAAGTTTAAAATCAAAAATCAATTTTATTCAAAATTTTTTGGAATTAAAACAATTTTTAACAATTCAAAAAAATCCAAAATCTTTTAAAATTATCTTAATTGAAAAAATTCATTAAAACATTAATCAATTTGGCAAATTCAAAATTCAATAAAATTCCCACATTCCCGCAAACCCTATTTCAATATGGATTGCTTATTATAATTTGAAAATATTGCTCCTTTCTTCTTTGTTTCGTAGATGAAAAATATTCGAAAAAGGAAATTGAGAAAAATTTCTTCAATATGTTTCGTTTTTTTAATAATAATTGCTCCATCCATCGTGCATAATTCGACAAAATAAAAGAAGTTCAAGCCATCAATTCTCAAGGCTATTAAAATTTCCATTTTGATGAAAATATTGAATCTTATTTTTTTTTGTTCTTCAGAAGAGTTCGTTGACATTCTGTGTCTGCTATGTACTTTGATCTTGTAATCATTTCTAATTGATTTCGAGAAATGACCAAAAAAATTAAATGCGCCTTCCAAATTCAGAATTGGAAATAAAACAATTTCATTGATGGTCCACAAAAACTCGATCAATTGCCATTTACGTTTTCACTCCTATAAATAGAATGATTTCATTGGAAACTATCGAATTCTTGCTGAATACGTCCAATAAAAAAAAAAGATTCGAAAACAATCTTTTCAGGAAATTTATTGCAATTTTTATGCTAATAATGTCTCGTTTGGAGATCTTGATTTTCTCGAGCTAAAAATAACTTTTCGACTTCTTCTTCTTTCCTTTCGTATTGAACGAGATGACTGGACAAGGAATTTGCATCTCGATATGGTCAACAAAATATTCTTCTTAACCTTTTTTTCTCTCTTTCTGTTTTTAATGATTATATTGAGCAGTTTTACAGGAAATTCCAAAATTCAAACGAAATTCACATTAAGCGTCGCCTTTAATGCAATTTTTAAGACGCAATAATTTTTTTCTGGTCCGTTAACTAATTTCACTAAGAAATGTTAATCAATTCCATATATTACTCATCCTATATTCCCCAATTAGATACTGCGCTAAAATTTTATAAAATATCTCAATCTCTCATCTTCATTATCTACCAATTTACAAGCTATTCAGAGTGAAAATGAAGCTTGTTCCGGGACAGATTCTAAATAGCATTCTTTTGTTAATTTTCTGTTTTTGTTTACCATTCTGAAGATTACTCAATTTATAGCTTAAATCAGATGAACTGGTTTGCAAAAAACATTAACATTTTGTTGGACATAAATCGCGATTTATCGGTCAAAATCTTCGCGAGAGAATCAAAATTTTGTTTTTTGTCAAGAAATCTTTCTTTTACGCCTTGATTTAACAACTGATTATGGCTAAATTTAGAATATATTTTTGTTGTTTTATGATAATTGCAAGGAGGTAAGTTTCTTAAATGGTTATGACCAATTCAGGTTTAAATTTGCATAAGTTTTCATTCAAATTAGTCAATCAAATGCCTTACTAGCTTTCGAACCTATGTTCATTGTGTAAAAGGATACACAAATCAATTTACAATAAGCAACAGATTTTCTTCAGCTCACTTTAACAAAAATCACAACAAATTGATTCAGTTCTCACAAGATTGCATCAAATAGTCATTATTACCAAAAGATAAGCCATCAAATGACAAAATTACCATGGTTATCAATAACAATCGCACTTTGATGTTCATCATATTCTCAAAATATCAATTTAATGAATCATTTTAAACTAATCGAAATCAAAGCGCCTCCCATGTGACCCTTTTTATGTTAACAAAGCAGAGCAAACCTATTGCAAACAGCTGTTGGTCGCGTGCTTCATCGTTTTCACTTGCTCAAGCAATATTGCGACTACTGTAATATGTGTGAAGACGAGCAGGCAGAAGTGAAACAACAAAGAGGACAAAGAAATCGCTCGATTTGATCTCAAATAGTCAAATTGAGTTGTTAAATATCAAATTGTTTGAAGACAAAATAAATAACATGTGACACGCGGCAACAACCGGAGCTAGCCAAGAATGGAATTCAGTAGTGACAAAAAGAATTTATTATTTATTTTTGAATAAATATTTCTCGCACTTTTTTTTCCGATGATGTTATTGAATACACAAATTGAAAAATATGAATATTGTATGAGATATTTTTGAATAGATGACGATATGAATAAATTATCCCGATGACTGATTCACCGAATGTATAATCGAGTGTTGATTTTCATGTCCATCAAACACTTTTACGTCTGATTCGAGAACAAATTCTTTCTTTTTCATCTCAATCTCCCATAAAAGTCAGTTCTCATTAATTTTGATCAAGATTAGAACAAACTTTTTAATGATCATAAAGATTTATGGATGGAGCCTAAGATCTTAATTCTAGCTTCAATAAAAATTTACATTCTTGTGCTAAATTCTAAAATTAAACATTTCATAATTAGCTAAGCTGTTTTTAGCATTTATTAAGTCTGCTACTAATGGAATTTGGATTTGCTTAATTCATCCAGTTACTATTGCACATGTTCCTGCTCATTTATGTTAATTTAAAACGGTGGTTTACTTTGTCCTACTCATCGTTATGTATGACACCTTTAACTTTATTTGAAGAATTTTTTTGTGTATTTTTGAATGTCTGAGAGGAGATTGTTTTGGATGAAAAGATAATTAGTCATGTTAGATATGAGATTTTTTATTTCAAAATATTGTTTTATCACAAATCCGGGATTGTTCCGACATTAGTCAAACATTTTGGTGAAAGAATTTACATATTTTTGGCAGGGGATGGAACATTTTTGTTTGTGCATTAAGAATTAAATTTAAAAGCCAGATATGTGTGCAAAACTGATCGAAAATGCAAATGAACTTGTAGTCAGAAGTATTGCGAGATTCAGGAAACATCTTACAAATCTATACAGCATAGTTGATCTATTAATCCAGTCAAGCCAAAGACACTCTCGTTAGCCCTAGAAAGTAGCTTTAGATCACCATGTTCATCGAATAATTCCCATATATATTAGCAGGTACTGCATCAAAATTCCAAAAAATAATCACACCCAAAATTCAAAAAGAAGAACTCAGACAACATTAAGCATTTCTTTATTTCCAAAATTCAAACCTTTCTCTTAATCATGGATTTCCCAGCCTATTAACAATTCGATTACATTTACTATCCCAACAAAAAAAATCAGTTCCGTCTGCTCCAAAAACAAATCCAAAACATCGCTAGTTACACAACAAAACTAAATAGATAGACTCTCTTGTTTCGTCTCTCATAAAATTAGCAGCAATTTAAATTAAATTAATTATGTGTTTTTTTATTTATGTCGGCTCTCTATTAAAGCCAAAACAAATTCCAAAAAGCCTCAGAAGCAAGCTAGTCTGATTAAATCTGACTGAAAAAAAAAGTATAATAAAAATTTGCATGGTTTTATTTAATGCGCTAATTGTGTGGGTGAGTCTAAAATGATTTTAATGACCTTTTTTTTAATTTTTTTATTGTTGTCCATTAATTCTTCTTGTTTAGCTTCTTCTTTATGGTTTTGTTTTTCTCGCTCTTTTAGAATTTTAATTCAGAAATGCTTAATGGACTTTTCTATAATTGGATTTTATTTTTGATAGACTTTTAAAGTCATTAGCAAAATTACAAAAAAAAAATAATAATTTGGGGTGAAGACTTAATGAATTTTAAGTAGTTTTACTCAATTCCGTTTAGATCCGATTATATCCAAGTCAGACTGATTTAGAAAACCAGAAAAAGATTTTATTGAGCTTTTTATAGATCTTCAAAAACCAGCACAGAAAATATTTTTTTAGCGAGGTTCAAGGTCGTCAAATAGCCTTCTCGTAGAATGGAATCGAAAATTCTTTTGAATTCTTTTATCAAACATTCCAAAGAAGCACATGCTGAGAATTGATAGTTTATTGGGCGCTGCCTGTCACGGTAAATCCGCATTGCGTCTAAGTGGCGACATGGCAATGATATCGGGATGTTACCAACATACTTTTAGTTGTATTTTGAATTTTTTACATTTAAGATGATTGAGAATTTTTCTCCTCGGGTTCGAGTTGTGGATTTCTTTCTTTTTGTGGATAAAAATAAATTTTTTGGAAGGAATGTGGTTATACTGTTGATATAATAAACATGCTTGGTTTGACCTTTTCGGATTATTTTTGTTAATTGTTGTGATTTAGGATGAATATTGTGGTAAGGATGCAAAAGTCATTAATAGAATTTTTTGAATGATAAAATTACAGTTTCAGACATTTCGAGCATGATGATACCAATTCAAGGAAGTATGAAAGTAAACTTGAATTATGATCAAGCCAGGGAGCATGTTAGTGGAGCTGATTAGAATGTTCATAAATACAATCATTGGCTTAACTAGTGTATTGGGTAGAAACCCAATTCGGATATATTCACACCGTACCATCAAAAGTCTTATGTATAGACCAAGATTTTCTCAGCATATGTTTGAAAGTATAAAGCTAGCGAGTCAGCTGAGTTTCGCTCAGCATAATTTTGAAGGTATGAAGCTAGCGAGTCAGCTGAAATATTAGTTCATTGACATATCTGTGTACTTTGCTAGTTAGAATATTGTGAATTTATATTGTGACTGCATGACTTCATGCATTGAGAATTATTTCGAAGCCACGAAATCGTACGTTTTCATAAAGATCTGCTTAACAGTTAACGTATTAAAAATAGATTATGACGTTTGGAAATCACATAGGATCTGAAATGCCAACTTCCTTACTTACCACCTTGGCTGGGGTGCACGTGGACCCATTGCTTCGTTTAGAGATCGTCTGAAGACAGGTCTATCCTTAGAAACCATCTATCAGTTCGGGATATAAAAGGACTCTATCGTCCTTTTCAACACATTCAATCCACGAGTTCTTCGGTCTTCCTCGTGATCTCTTGTCATCCATAAAGCCACTTTTAATACTCGGGCATCTTGTGAGCATCTGAATACATGTCCAGCCCATCTCAAGTGATTTGCATGGAGGTCTATCAGCTTCCTGAAAAAAATAAAATGCTAACCGGCGCATGAAATTTAATCAAAAATATCTTTAAAGAAATTTTAGACCCGGTCTGATTGCACTTGTTTACAAAATATCCGATAACATTAAATAACACCTCTTAATACTTCACATCAAGCTGAAAAGATAAGAATCATTGTTAAAATTAGATTTCTCAGAAAAATCGTTTCGTTTCAATCAGCTGTTTCTAATCCACTCAAAACAAGAAAAAAAAACAAAATAATGCATATTTATCAGCTATTTGTTTATAATAATGCAAGCACATTTTCACATGCGTACGATATAATGCCGAAAATTTATCACAGCCATACAGATAGTTGTATTTGTGCTGATAAGGGAAAATAAATAGAAATGAAAAGCTATTGCATTAAATTACAATCGACAATCATTATTGGACAATTAATTTTTCAGTCGCTACGTGAGCCTCGTGACATTAAGTTGTGAAAACAAGATATTTTTTTAAAAAAAAAAAAAAACTTAAAAAATGACTTCCAGCGTCCCGGAGTGGATTAATGAAAGTTTTTTCGAAAAAGTTCTTCGTACATCCAACGGCGACAAGAATCTGAATGTAAAAAAAATATTGTGTCTATTTTGAGACGGATTTAATAGTCTATGGATCTAATTTATGTAGATTGGAATTTTTTTTCTAGATTTCAGAGTTCAACGTTGCACCGTCAAATAACAGCCAAGAACATTACGCGTCAACGATCTTCAAGGCCACGGTCAAGTATGCAAACAAGTTTAACTGTGAAGAAGTGACAAAGCTTCTCATCAAACTGGTTGTACCCAAGGCCATTGCATTTTCGGATGAGAATTCTTTTGATACCGGTAATATAAAAAATATTTTTGTGCTTAAAAATATCTTTTTCACATTTTAATTTATTGTTGCGTAACTTTTACTTACTCAGAATTGAACATGTACTTAAGTACACTTCCGGATTTACAGCGATTGTTGAATCAAAACGGTGAAAATGTCCAATTTGCACCCAAGTGAGTGGCTTTTATTGTTTTGTTATTATGCAATTGATTATTGGGGTTGTTCATAAATGACGTTCATTGAAAATTTGGGTTTTTAAGCCCTCCACTCTTCTGCAATTCCATAAAATAATCACATAAAATGTATGAAGTGTTTCAAAACTTTAAAATCTTTCCTTGTAAGTTATGGACGGCATTACTGAATAAGCCCTATGACTGCTTATCGCTAAAAATTTCACTCTCACTCCCTGATAAGATTACTATATTCATCGAAAGATCCTGTCCCACTCCTTGTACTTGAGGACGTCACAATGAATGGCTATGATAATACAACAGGGCCATTGGATCTATTTGGAATAAAATGTGTGACATCAAAACTTGCAAAATTCCATGCAGCATCGATTTATATTGATCGTGATGTAATGATTCAAAATTACCATACGCACCTATATAGTTTTTCTCATTTTAAGGGTAAAGAAGTTTCTTACTACAAAAATGGTCTATTTAATTTGAAGTCACGTGATGGACTTAATTTTATGAAAAATAATATGTACTTGTTTGTTGATGAGTTGAAGTCATGGAGAGGATATGATGAATGTACAGACAAAATGAAGAATATTGCAAAGAAATTTGAAGAACTTGGTGAGAAAGTCTATCAAGCTAATCCAAGTGCTGATGGATTTAATGTTCTGAATCATGGTGATTTTTGTTACAATAACATGTTGTTTAAGAAGGATGATGATGGTAAAGTCTGTGACGTCTTGTTTGTGAGTATTATTGCTGATGAAATCTCTCTATATCAAATTTTAATGACATTTTCTGGCTGGGAATTTTTAATTGGATGATTAAAATCGTCTTAAGGGAATAAATTAAAGCTTTTACGTAGATATAGCCTATTGGAAGCTAGTTGACGTCAGGAAAGTCTGATTTTAATATAATTTCTCATCTCATTTACATAATTAATAGGTTGACTACCAAATGACTAAATGGGGATCGCCATGTATTGATCTTTATTATCTCCTTCATCTTGTCGCATCCAGAGAAGTTTCTGAGAATCATCGTGACGAAATCATCAGCTATTACTATGAGGAACTAGTTAAATCATTGAAAGATATTGGTTACATGACAAAACCACCAAATATGCTTGATTTAAACGTTGAATTACTTAAAAATGGATTCTTGGAAGTGTTGATTGCAGTTTGCTTCATGCCATTCATGTTTATGGATCCAAAAATTCATGATACTGAATTAGCATTTGAGAATGGAATTGAAGGACTGTTATTGCGTCAAGATTTATATCGAAATCCCGAATTCAAGACATTCATCAAAAAACTACTTCCCAAGTTTCTCCATAAAGGCTTACTGTTCTGAGTTGTTTTTGAATGAAAACCATAAAATTTAAGAATTGCTTTGATATTTGCAATTTGTTGTCATTTAGCTAATTTTAAATCCGATCAATAAAAATATTTGGAACCATAAACTTTATATGTGAATATATTATCATCTACATTCCTTTAAGTCATCCTTCCAGTTTCATTTCTCATATTAATTTTTCTTCTGATGATCTTGCTCAGTTCATAGTTTCTGACCTTGTATCGAAGACACAATTTGAGGTAGAATATCAAGTTCAAGCTTATTTTTTCATTATCAATTGAAAGCTTTATTCTTGAGGTTTAATACATATAAAGATGATTTTTTCTGTGTTAAAAACTAGCTGTGTGTCTATGAAGATGTTGTTCTTATCTCTATCATTGTGTGTAACTGACTAGTTCTATTGTATTTCTGTTTTGATGATATTGTGCATTATTATTATTTTTGTTTAGCTGATTTAGGAATTGAAAGCTAAGAGGATATCTGAAATATGCAATTTATTAATATAAAAGTCTATTTATGCTTCAAAGTCTAAAATACAGATTTACCAACAAAATTGAATGTTTTTGGGTTTCACATTTATCAATTGAACTTGAATGTCTTTAACTAGTCCCGTTTAATATCAAATTATTCTGGACATTATGAATTCAGGATTGGTTAAACTTACTTTATAATTTTCTGAATTACTCGAGCTTATTTCTTTTATTTTTGACAGTTTTGGCAAAAAATAATTTCTTAACAGCATAATATCCAGCAAGCATTAAAACGCAAACAGTACTGATTCCAATTGCTGCAAAATCCAAGAAATATTTTTCATAAAATGGAACATCCTTTCCAATGTAATGAAAATGTTTAGCACCCTTATATCTGATGACATATTCTATACACCAAATTGCCTTATCCCTTGGAGCCATTGGTTGGTCATAAACTAATTCTCTAAGTTTCTGGATTTTTTCTTTGTACTTTGGCTTCAGCATTTCAAGGATGGTAGATTTCAGCTTCTCTGAAGTAAGAGATTTGAGTTCTAAATGCTTTCCGATTTCTTTCTGTTCCATTCGTTTTGCATTTGCAGGTTGATCGCCTATAAATGGGATTACGATTGTTGGAACTGCTCTGTCAATTGTTTCTTCCATTGATTGCTGTCCACCGTGAGTAATGAAAAGTTTAATATTTGGATGTGCAAGCAGATCAGCTTGAGGAAGCCATTTTTGAATCATTACATTTTCAGGCTTTTCTGGTAAGTCATCATTCTCGAACTTCCATATGAAGTCATATTTTAGTCTTTTGAAAGTATTGAGGAACATTCCTTTAATCTCAGAACTTAAATCTGTAGATTGGACGTTTGATCCAAAACTCATGTAGATGACTCCATGCTCAGAATTGTCTAGAAAGTGCTTTAATGGTCCATCTTTCAATGGTTTTGGTGCCTCAATATGCATGAAACCTATTTGAACTGTATTTGGCAAGATCGGTCTAATATATCCCATAACTGGATGTGCATTGACAATTAAAAATTCAATCCTATTGTTAAGTTTCTCAAGATCAGGATTGACTGTCGGGAAATGCTTCTCAACTATTCTTTTCATTTTGATGTTGTGGCTTGGTTGAATTCTAAATTTATATTTCAGCAAATACTTCAAACATTTCAATCGTTCCTGAAAGTTGAGCCTACCTTGAACAAATGGAAACATAATTTCAGGATGAAGAACTATGTTTGCTGAGTTCCCAATCATTTCATGGTTCTCATTAAACATATCTGTCGTGGATATTCCAATCACTGGAATGTCATAAAGTTCAGCGAATGCCAACATTGGAGTGTAGTAAATGTGCTCAATTATCATCACATCAAATTCATATTTATTCTTGTCCACAATCAATTTTTGGACTTCTGCGTGACTAAGTTCTTCGTCCAAAAATATTTCCGTAATCCATGAAAAGTATTCAATATGATCAGCCTCATCCATGTCTGATTTTGAGATCTTCACAAAATTAAATTCTCTTTTAAAGACTTCGTAAGCAGAATGTAAATCAATTTGAGTGACGTTTGGATTTTCGATTTTTATTGCATCTGTTGTTAAAATTGTCAGTTCATGTCCTCGTGCTGCAAGATCTTTCATTAACACGTGGAATCCAATCTGATGACTAATTGATGGTGTTGGAAATATTCCTAAAATCTTTGAAGCTTTTGATGCTTGCAAGACGATCAAAAATATAAAAAATTTCATTATTCACTGAGTAAAAGTTAAAGAGCGACTAAATTGAGATTTTGTATATTTTGATAAGTTTAATAAAGGATTAATTCCAAATTGGACATCTCAATCTTGACTTTTCAAATTTACAAAATTATTCAATTACCGGCACGAATTCGCACATGGAACTTACACATGCTTAATTCCCTACATGCAAAAAAAGCAACTTAGTTTGTGTTTGAATTTTGATTGTATGCGGAGCATGTGCTAAGCTTCTTTGTGTTGTAGCTTGTACACAGCTTGAAAACATATAAAGTAAGTCTCAAGATAGATTTTGTTGTTTTGGATCGATGAGCCGATCTTTTAAAATTAATTTTAAGTTTATTTGTAGAAATTTGTGTTCATCTCAATCTTAATAAGTTTAAACAAGCCTAAATTTGTTGGAACCTGATTGGATTCAGCCTAAAACGTAGAAATTTGTCCAAATTATCAGAATTTCATTTTGGAACTTATCTTATCATGATATCAACTATATCCGATAACATTTTTTTCATTGAACGATCAAAGACTAAACAAAATCCATTAGAGTGTCAGTTTTAAAAGTGTAGCTGCATTAGAATGTTTCTACGTGTTGTTCTAGTCTTATTTATTAGTACCAAAATATCTGAATCTGCTAACATTTTGGCTATTTATCCAACACCATCATTAAGTCATCAAATAGTTTTTCAAAGAATCACAAAAGATTTGCTGGACAGAGGACATAAGTTGACAGTTCTTACGCCAAATCCGCTAAATCTAAAAAATGGGAACTTGACGGAAATTGACTTAAGCAGTTCCTATCCAAATTTTCAAAAACGTTTTGGCTATGGAATGGTCAAGAATTACAGAGACAATCTTTATGCATACATGAGGACAGCATTTGAAATATTTGTTCAGCTACTGAACGAGCAGTTAAGTCATCCAGAAGTTCAAAAGTTGATCAATGAAAAGGAAAATTATAAATTTGACATAATGATGATGGAGCATACTGGACATTTCCCATACTTAGCATTTGCAGAAATTTATAACATTCCAGTAATCGGAATCACTTCTTTTGAGACTGGAAATTTAGTGTATCAATATTTCGGAAGTGGTTCCAACATAATCACTAACGTAGAACAAATGTTTCCATATGTGGCAGATGAAATGACATTTTTGCAACGATGGGAATGTCTACAAGTTAATGTTGGAGTGTTTATGGCAATGTTAACTCCTCCATTTCCATTTCTAGCTTATGGTGAAATTATGAATAAATATTTTCCTAAAGTTGAAAAAGGAATTTTTGAGTTGATGGATAAAGTGGAACTTTTGATGGTCAATGCACATCCAGCAATGGGATTTGTGAGACCTTTGGTACCTAATACTGTTCAGTTAGGTTTCATGCATATTGATCCACCAAAACCACTAGAAGAAGGTCCATTGAAGAAGTTCCTTGATGAATCTAAAAACGGTGTTATTTACGTTAGTTTTGGAACCAATATAAAATCAAAGGATTTAGATCAAGAACTTTTGTATATACTTATCAATGTATTTAAAGGATTAAAGCAGAATGTGCTCTGGAAGTTTGAGAATGAAAACTTACCAAATAAGCCAGACAATGTGATGATTCAAAAATGGCTACCTCAAGCTGACCTACTGGCTCATCCAAATGTAAAACTTTTTATTACTCAATGTGGACAGCAGTCGACAGAAGAAGCAGTTGATAGAACAGTTCCAATGGTTTTGATTCCATTCTTTGCTGATCAACCAGGACTAGCTGCTAAATTACAACAAAAAGGCGTTGGACGTTATATTGATGTGGGCAAGCTTGAGGAAAAAGTCTTGAAAGACACAATCGAGGAAGTCTTAAAGTCAGAGTACAAAGAGAATGCTGTAAAGTTAAGAGAACTTGTTTATGATCAGCCAGTGTCATCAAGAGAAAAGGCTGTCTGGTGGGTGGAATATTTCATTCGACATAACGGAACAAATCATCAAGCTTATCCAGGCAGAAATGTGCCTTTTTACAAAAAGTATTTTATAGATTTTATAGCAATTGCTGTCGTTTTGTGGCATTTCTTGATTAAATTTGTGAAATTTGCATTTAAACAGCTTAATTATTTTTATAAAGCGAAGATTGAATAAAGAAAGCATTTAATTGATGGCAAGTGCTGATTACTCTAATTTTATTCTGTTTTATTTTTGTTCTTTTTTGTTATGAGAATTTTGGAAACTATGGACAAAATTATTTTTAACAGAACCGTAGCTGTAATTAATAATAAAGCTGCAAAGTCTAAGAAATATTTTTCATAAAACGGAACTTCCTTGCCATGATAGTAAAAATGCTTTGCTCCTTTATGCCTGATCACATATTCTGTCCACCAAACTGCCTTTTCTCTTGTTGTCATTGGTTCATCATAAATCAAGTCTCGGAGCTTCTGAATATTTCCTTTGTACTTTGGCTTCAACATTTCTTCGATTGCTGCTTTCAGCTTTTCTTCTGTAAGTGTGTGAAGTTCCAAATGCATTCCAATATTTTTCCTCTCCATTCTCATTGCATTTGTAATTTGATCTCCAAGAAATGGGATTACAATTGTTGGAACTGCTCTGTCAATAGTTTCGTCCATTGATTGTTGTCCACCATGAGTGATGAAAAGTTTTATATTTGGATGTGCCAGTAAGTCAGCTTGAGGAAACCACTTTTGAATCATTACATTTTTAGGCTTGTCTGATAAGTCATCACTTTCGAACTTCCATATAAAGTTACAATTTAGACTTCCAAAAACGTTTAAAAACAATTTTTGAATTTTTGGTCCTAAATCTTTTGATTGTGCATTCGATCCAAAACTCATGTAAACAACACCTTGCTTAGATTCATCAAGGAAAGTCTTTAGTGGTCCATCTTCTAATGGTTTTGCAGACTCAATATGCACAAAACCTAATTGTATGGTATTTGGTAGAATCGGTCTTACATATCCAAGCACTGGATGTGCGTTTACCATAAGAAATTCTATGGGAGTGGCTCATCTGGCAGAAACGATGGATTCCATGGATTCCATGGATTCCATGGATTCCATGGATTCCATGGATTCTATGGATTACCCGAAACTGTTGGTTTTCCATCGAAACTCACAGCTTTTTGAATCCATCGTTTCTATAGATTCTATTAAAAACCCTTAGCTTCAGATTTTCCATGGAATCCATGGAAAAATTTTAGTAAACCTTATCAAACTTTTAATAAAACTTATCAAATTTTAATAAAAGTTTTTAAAATTCTACAGCGTTGTAAAACTGTTGTAGGTTTCCAAAATTGTAAGGTTTTCATATATTTTATATACTTCACAAACGCTCCAAGCAGGGGCGTAGCCAGGGGGGGGCCATAGGGGGCCCGGGCCCCCCCTACGAAAATCTGACAATTGTTTTATTAAGTATTTATAGAGAAGAACCAGTTAATGTAGAGCAAGTAATGAAAGAAATGTCAAAATCAGCATGAAAAATTAAATTTAATGTATGAATAATGAATTAAATATTTAAACTTATGAAGAATGAATATAGATTTAAGGATAAAAAATAACGGTTTTTTTTAATTTTCGAAAATGGGCCCCCCCTTTAAAAATTTTCTGGCTACGCCCCTGGCTCCAAGAAATGACTTATACAAAAGAATGTCTTAGTTCTCATACAAAGTCATATAAAATTATAAATTTCTTATGAGGCACATTAAGTGCCAAAAATCATGCAAAGTCTTAAGCTTTGAGAAAGCATTTTAGTTAAGACTTGAAAAAGCTCCATACTATAAATTAATTATACTATAAAGCTGTTTTTGTAAAAAAAGTAATCCAAGAAATTTTAATGACTTTTTACTAAAATCCATGAACAAATTTAATAAAAATTATGAAAATACATCTTAATAACTTTTTACTAATGTTTAGTAAGAAAATTATTAAAATTTTAACAGTTTTGTAAAATTTGAATGCAATTTTGTAAAACCAAAACGTTTAATAACCCTTATCAAATTTTAGTAAAAGTTATCAAGATGTATTTTTATAAAACTTTTTCATACATTTTTAATAAAATTTATCAATTTTTTTTATGAGTGTGGGATTATTATCTCCCAGGTAGATAATAATTTCACTTACATTTCTAAGTGGGATTATTATCTTAATGGAACACGATTAAAATTATGGATTAAATTAAATCCAAAAACTTATTTGTCATAGTGACATAGTAGTAATTTATTATCTAATAGGATTTTCATCCAAAAAAAAATCCCACTTATTAATTTGTCAATTTCATTATTCTAAAAACTTAAATATGAAGAAAACATAAATATTGGTTGAATGTTTAAGTTGAAAACTTGGTTTTTATGCCTTTTGTAAATTTTTTAAAAGCCTAGAGCCTAAATGTTTAATGTATCAAAGATCTATTCACTCAAGAAATTATATTCACACAAAATTTTCAATTTTTTGTTTTTGCAAATAGTTTTGAAATGAATTCTTTCAAAATTTAAAACGTGCGGAACTAATAAATCACGTTTTTATCATTTTTGTCATTGGCAAAATTTGAGTTCACATGATGCAGGATAGAGGATGCAGGGTTTTTTGATTTTTTGGAAGCAATGGTTGTTTCTACCTTACCCAATAAAAAAATAAAGCCTTATCCTTTTTAACGCAGCAAGAATCAAAATGCAATAATTAGAAGTCTCTAAGATGCCTCGTTATTGAGATTTTTGCTGATTTACTTGCCTTGATGCTTGTTTGCTTACGTATCATGCGATTTTCCCATCAATGCTACAGCCAATTTAAATTCTGTTTTTGCCCATTTGCTTTTTTTCCTCAAAATGCGAAAAAAGCTGAACAAAAATAAAGTGAATACGGTGTGAATATAAAATCTATTTTAGGATATAAAATTTTTTTATATTCACACCGTTTTCACGTGTGAATCTATTGGTTTTGTTCAGATTGAAAAATCAGTTTTTCGCATTTTTTGAGAAAACGAAGCAAAATTGGTTATAAAAGGTCAAAAAAAGGCAAGTTAATCAGCAAGAAATCTCGATAACGAGACATCGTAGAGACTTCTATTTTTTAAATTTGATTTGTGCTGCTCTATAGAAGAGCTGTATTGTTTTTGGGCAAGGTAGGAACAGCCGTTGCTTCAGAAAAAGCATAAAACTTTCCTTTCTTATGAATTTTTTAAAACAAAAGTTGACTGTGATTTTTATAAAATTCAACTTTGGATGAAAAATTTTTTTTAAAAACTTTTAAAGAATGTTCGTTAAGCTTTAGACCTTCAAACTTATGCTAAACGAAGCTCAGCTCACTCGCTAGCTTTATATCTTCAAACGTTTGCTGAGCGAAGCTCAGTTGACTTATCAAGCTTCATACCTTCATACTTATGCTGGGAAAATCTTGGTCTATCCATTAGACTTTTGATGGTACGGTGTGAATATAATCCGCATTGGGTTTCTGCCCGATACACTAGTTCTGACAGGTTTTATTTTAAGCTTTTCTTTAAAAGAGCTCAAGTTTGAAAGAACTTACAAAATATTACGTTTGAATTTTGTACGAATCACTTTAATTATTTGCTGAACATTTTCAATAAATTTGTCGCCATCAGTTTGTTTAAGTAACCCTGTATACCTGAATAATCAGAATAATTTCGAAATTTTGAGATTATAAACAATCAAATCTCTTAAATGTTCTAAAACCATTGGAAACCTTCTTGGGGCTTGTACACACGGTTAAACAGCATCAGAATTGCCATCATTTTAAAATTCTAGTTAATTTAATAAGAATTTTAGCAACAGAATTTTAATTTTGCGTTCTTTTTATGTTTAAATCTTTACATTTTTCTTAGCAAAATATGTAAATAATATTATGATTAGATTTATAAATCTAATTTTCTTAAGGGCAATTTACAATTATTTGAAAGGCTTTTGGAAAATTTCAGGAAAGAATCGAAAATTTATTATTTTGCCCATTAGAGGTTAACATATCTACTTCTAAACATTTGAACAAAACTGTGATTTTTAAACAGTTGAATGAATGAAGCGAAACAAAATGGAATTACGGCTACATTTTCTTTAAACATTCGAGCGAATCTCGAACATAATTTTATATGGAATAGCTAACATCTTTAGATTAGTTGAACCCACTTGAACCCACCTTGATTTTATTTTTTAAACAATTTGGAATAATATATTTTTTAAAAGCAAACATTCAACCAATATTTATGTTTTCTTCATATTTAAGTTTTTAGAATAATGAAATTGACAAATTAATAAGTGGGATTTTTTTTTGGATGAAAATCCTATTAGATAATAAATTACTACTATGTCACTATGACAAATAAGTTTTTGGATTTAATTTAATCCATAATTTTAATCGTGTTCCATTAAGATAATAATCCCACTTAGAAATGTAAGTGAAATTATTATCTACCTGGGAGATAATAATCCCACACTCATAAAAAAAATTGATAAATTTTATTAAAAATGTATGAAAAAGTTTTATAAAAATACATCTTGATAACTTTTACTAAAATTTGATAAGGGTTATTAAACGTTTTGGTTTTACAAAATTGCATTCAAATTTTACAAAACTGTTAAAATTTTAATAATTTTCTTACTAAACATTAGTAAAAAGTTATTAAGATGTATTTTCATAATTTTTATTAAATTTGTTCATGGATTTTAGTAAAAAGTCATTAAAATTTCTTGGATTACTTTTTTTACAAAAACAGCTTTATAGTATAATTAATTTATAGTATGGAGCTTTTTCAAGTCTTAACTAAAATGCTTTCTCAAAGCTTAAGACTTTGCATGATTTTTGGCACTTAATGTGCCTCATAAGAAATTTATAATTTTATATGACTTTGTATGAGAACTAAGACATTCTTTTGTATAAGTCATTTCTTGGAGCGTTTGTGAAGTATATAAAATATATGAAAACCTTACAATTTTGGAAACCTACAACAGTTTTACAACGCTGTAGAATTTTAAAAACTTTTATTAAAATTTGATAAGTTTTATTAAAAGTTTGATAAGGTTTACTAAAATTTTTCCATGGATTCCATGGAAAATCTGAAGCTAAGGGTTTTTAATAGAATCTATAGAAACGATGGATTCAAAAAGCTGTGAGTTTCGATGGAAAACCAACAGTTTCGGGTAATCCATAGAATCCATGGAATCCATGGAATCCATGGAATCCATGGAATCCATGGTTTCTGCCAGATGAGCTAGATTCGTGATTATCTACAATTGTATCTACTGATGTAAATTCAATTACAGGAGCATCGAATATTTCAGCAAAGCATCGGATAATTTGTCAGAACTTCCATTATAATAACATCGAAATGATTACTATTTCGATCAGCTATCAATTTTTTCACTTCTGGATGTGACAATTGTTCCTCAAAATAATTCATCATTACAGGAAAGAAATGGCTAAATACACCTGCTTCATCTACATTGTTATTTTTAATATCCACAAAATTAAATTCTCTTCGTAATATTTCATAACTTGAATGCAGATCAATTTGAGTTACATTTGGATTATCTGTCTTGAATGGAACTGGAGTTAAAATCACTAATTCATGTCCTCTGTCAGCTAAATCCTTCATCAATGTTCGAAACACAAATTGATGACTTATTGATGGAGTTGGAAAGATTCCCAGAATTTTTGCACTTTGACTAGCGTGGATGAAAATTAGAAACAGTGCTATTTCTTTCATTGCGAGGAGGTGACTGAATGCTGTGAGAATAAAATTTTTTAAGTGCTGTTTAAACAAATATACTTGAGCTTTTCTTATCTGTATTCTTTATTTGTGGATACTTGTGAGTGTATTGCATGTAATTATAAATACTTTACAAAGCAGTACTGCACGTAAATGATATTTTCTATTATTCAAGAAATTTTAAACATTTCAATTTTGATCATTCAGATTTAACCTTCCTATTACGAATTGTTCCTAATTTTGAAATCACTACGAAGCTAATTTTGATTAAAAAAACAGCCATTATCAATCCTAAAGCTGCAAAGTCCAAAAAATATTTTTCATAAAATAGAACTTCCTTGCCATGATAGTAAAAATGTTTTGCTCCTTTATGCCTGATCACATATTCCGTCCACCAAACTGCTTTCTCTCTTGTTGTCATTGGTTCATCATAAATCAAGTCTCGGAGCTTGTGAATATTTTCTTTGTACTTTGGATTCAACATTTCATGAATTGTTGCTTTCAGCTTTTCTTCTGTAAGTGTGTGCAGTTCCAAATGCTTACCAATTTTCATTTTCTCCATTCTTTCAGCATTCGAATATTGATCTCCTAAAAATGGAATGACTATTGTTGGAATTGTTCGATCTATTGTTTCTTCCATTGATTGTTGTCCACCATGAGTAATAAAGAGTTTGATTTTCGGATGAGCCAGCATATCAGCTTGAGGAAGCCATTTTTGGAGCAATACATTATCAGGCTTTTCTGGTAAATCATCATTCTCGAACTTCCATATGAAGTCATATTTTAAACTTTTGAAAGTATTGAGAAACATTTTTTGAGTTCCATCTCCCAAGTCTGTAGCCATAACATTTGAGCCAAAACTCATGTAAATCACACCATGCTCAGACTCATTTAAAAATTTCTTCAATGGTCCATCTTCTAATGGTTTTGGAGGCTCAATATGCATGAAGCCTAGTTGAATTGTATTAGGCAAGATCGGTCTGATGTATCCCATTGCTGGATGTGTGTTGGTCATTAAAAGTGCTATTCTGCTTCTCATCATCGCTAAGTTTGGGTTTTTAATTCCAAAATGACGCACAATGAAACTATTCATGATGTTAAGTTGTGAGGATCTTGAGAGTTTCTTTTTCAAAAAAAATTTCAAGCACTTCCATCTCTCAAAGAATGACAACCTTCTTTGCTGGTATGAAAACATTATTTCAGGATGAAGAACACGATTCGCTTCATTTCCCATCCAAGCATGACTTTCAGCCAAATTGTCCATTGATGTAAATTCAATCACAGGAGCATCAAAAATTTCCCCAAATGCTAATATTGGGTAGTTAATCAGACCTTCTATAATGATGACATCAAAGCTGTATTTCTCCTTTTCTGCAATCAATTTCTTTACTCCTGGATGTGATATTTGTTCCTCAAAGAACTTCATTATAGCATTAAAGAAATAATTCTCTAAAGCAGCCTCATCCTTGTTGCTATTTTTAAAGTCCACAAAGTTTAATGCCTCATGAAACACTTTATAGCTTGTATGCAGATCAATTTGTGTGACATTTGGATTCTCTGTTTCAAATGGGTCAGGAGTAAGTATTAATAACTCATGCTTTTTTGCTGCTAGATCCTTCATTAATGCTCGAAACACGACTTGATGGCTTATTGATGGTGTTGGGAATATTCCTAGAATTCTTGCACTTTGAGTTACGTGGAGTATAATCAAAAATGTAAGTAGAATTTTCATAATTAAGTTTTAAATTCTGTGGAGTAATTAATGTTTTAAAATCAGGTCTACGACTGACTGCTTAGCAACTTTACTGTTGATTTATATCAAAATTAGATAAAATTTAAAGTTTAAATTTTTAAAAACTGTGAAAAAAATCGAAAAATTACAAACAATACAGGTAAAAAGTTTAGAAAGTTTTTGCTTCCAAGCTATAAATTAAAATCTAAAACTAAAAGATTGCACTTAGAATCAACTGAGACCAATAGATTTATTTTTATTCAGATTTCCTTTTCTTATTCTTTGTTGTCTTAAATTTTGAAAACACCAGGAGACAACATTTGATTAGAATAACAGTCATTATCAATCCTATAGCTGCAAAGTCTAAGAAATATTTTTCATAAAACGGAACTTCCTTGCCATGATAGTAAAAATGTTTTGCTCCTTTATGCCTGATCACATATTCTGTCCACCAAACTGCTTTTTCTCTTGTTGTCATTGGTTCATCATAAATCAAGTCTCGGAGCTTCTGAATATTTTCTTTGTATTCTGGCTTCAACATTTCATGAATTGCTGTCTTCAGCTTTTCTTCGGTAAGTGTGTGAAGTTCCAAATGCATTCCAATTCTGCGTTTTTCCATTCTTTTTGCATTTGTGTCTTGATCTCCCAGAAATGGGATAACTATTGTTGGAACTGCTCTGTCAATTGTTTCTTCCATGGATTGTTGTCCACCATGAGTGATGAAAAGTTTTATTTTTGGATGAGCTAGCATATCAGCTTGAGGAAGCCATTTTTGGAGCAATACATTTTTAGGCTTGTCTGGTAAGTTATCACTTTCGAACTTCCAGACAATGTCATATTTAATGTTTTTAAATACATTGAGAAATATTTTTTGAGCGTCTTGTCCTAAATCCGTAGATTGAACATTCGATCCAAAACTCATGTAAATAACACCATGCTTTGAATTGTCTAAGAACTTCTTCAATGGTCCATCTTTTAATGGCTTCGGTGATTCAATATGCATAAAACCTAATTGAATTGTATTTGGTAGTAGCGGTCTGATTGTTCCAAGAACTGGGTGTGCATTAATCATCATGAATTCAATGCGACTTCTTAATTTTCTCATGTCTGGATTTTTTATTGGAAAATGCCTCTCGATGAATTTCTCCATTTCCCTAAACTCGTTTGGAACTGCAATAAATCTTTTATAAACGTACCTTAATGTTGTCCATCGCTCATAAAATGTGAGTCTCTTCTGTTGAAATGGAAGCATAATGTCAGGATGAACAATAGGATTTGCTTCATTTCCCATCCATCTGTGATTTTCAGCTACAGCATCTAATGATGTAATTTCAATTACAGGAGCATCGAATATTTCACCAAATGCTAACATTGGATAATTCAAGAGACTTTCCATTATGACTACATCAAAGTGATGCTTGTCTTTTTCTGCAATTAATTTTTTAACTTCTGGATGTGACATCTGTTCCTCCAAATATTTCATCATAGATGGGACGAAGTAATTAAATAGGTCAGTCTCATCCATATTGCTGTTTTTAAAATACACGAAATTGAAAGTATCACGGAAAATTTTGTAACTTGAATGCAGATCAATTTGAGTGACATTCGGATTGTTTGTCTTAAACGTATCTGTTGTTAAAATTACTAACTCATGTCCTCTAGCTGCTAAATCTTTCATCAGTGCATGAAATACTATTTGGTGACTAATTGATGGTGTTGGAAATACTCCAAGAATCTTTGCACTGTAAACTACATGAATGAGAACTAAGAATGCCGTTAAACTTTTCATTTCTAAATGCTGTAGCTTGACTGAAAGCTGTATGAACAAAACTAAGCTTAATATACATACTTTTGAACATACAGTCAATTAAGTTTAAAGTATAGTTACTTTTGATTACTGATAGTGACTTGCACGTGCTAGATGAGTATATGTCACTTGAACTTCAAATCATGTACTTAAAATCAGTAATAAATGCAGGGCTGGAATATACATTTTTTGTAATAATGTGTGGGGGTGGGAGGAGGAAAAGACTTAATTAATAATTTTGCATTAATTGTGCTTCATCATTAGAATCTTTTCTCAAATGTATATAAGGGGCCGTTCACTTATGACGTCCAGGGGGGGGGGGGGGGGGGTCAGCAATAAAAGAACAATAGAAATTTCTGGAAATCCATTGTTCTTTTTTGAAAAATGACCGTTAATTTCGGACGTCATAAGTGAACGCATGGATGAGAAAATTCAAATGCAAAATGTCAGCACATAAAAACTTTATCAATTTGATTCGATGACGGCACTGAAAAGATGCAATTCAAAGTCTGAAAAATCAATGATAAAGCGGATAAAGCTACAATTTCATAATTTTGCATTATTCATTTTATTCTATATTTTGGTAACCTCATTTACTTCTCTGCCTGACGATTTGAATTTTATTGACACAAAATTTATACATTTTGTGATTCATTAATATAAATTAAGCATCATTACTCTAACATTCAGATATAAAATTATTTTTTTATACATCAACATATTATGGCTGTATTTATTCACACATTTGATGATGATGCTGGTGATGAAGATGATTAATATTATTTGGTTGCATGTTCTCATTACAAAAATATTGATTTTGCATTGAATATAAGCGATCTATTGGATTAAGGAGATGATTTGAAGGCGCTAAATTGGCTGATAGCTGTTGAAGTGCCTGGAAATCCATTCCAACCATATTACCATTATTGTATGATAATGTCTCACTCTTAATACTCGTGACTGTTGTTCCATCTGTAAAAGAGTATTCCTTAAATTTGATAAAAAGCATAAACAAAGCACATAAAATGTCATCAAAATTCAATTTCCGTTCCATTCTTTTGGCTTTTTTTTATAATTCAATTATTTGGAATTTAATTCAACGGATGCTTTAAGTACCAGTACGCTTTTTGTTACTTCCATCCATTTTAAAGTCATATTTAATGGTTTTAATGGCATAAACTTGTTATCGATTGTTTGAGTGATGGTGTGAGAATCAAAACTTGACAAGGAAAATGATTTTCATGCATAAAAGAGCGGAAGTGGAGAGCGAATGGGAAAATATCAAGAATTGCCATAAAAAGTCAAATACTAAGGGATGCAAGGTGGCGTCAGATGTTTTTCATTGATCTTTTTTTTTTGCCTTTTTTGCTTCTTTTGCATTTAAACTGAGTCAAAAAATTATCTATGGATGCGTAGGATTAAAGTTGCTGATCTATTCAAATTTTTCACTGATGTCTTCAAAAAACTATCAAAGGTCATCTACGCAATATTCATTCAGATTCAACATGAAAAATTTGTAAACGGAAAATTCAATGCCAGGCAACAGAACGTGAATTACAAATCATGTATGAACATACATTTATTTGTAAAGGGCTTTGCTCATAAAAAACCCTCGTTGCACATACGGAAATGGCAGTTAGGAGACAATCATAAAAATACAAAACACATTTTCATGGCTTTGCTGTAGAGAAAACAAAACAGCATCATGGGGAGAGAGTGCGAGCAAAAAAAAAATTGTTTACAGGTGGCTCATGTTTTATAGATGAAGTTGAAAAAGTGGCTCAGTGTATTGTGTATGTATGAGGGAGGATAGAATGAAGGAGGTAAAGAAATTCTAACGGATGGAGCTTAATGACGCACATTTATTCAATTGCCGACTGAAAATTGAAGTAGATTTTGGATTTTGATAAGGCAATGGTTCTTAGGTTTTTCGCTTGAGGCACCTAAAATCAATTATTTAGCCAGATTGTAAAATTTGAGGATCTAGATGGAAATTATTCGGCTTGTTTCACTAAAGTGGATTATCCTCGATTTCGGATTATCCACTTCAGTTTTTTGGAAATATCTCCAGACGCTTAAGGTTATTAAGAGATCTAATATGTGATATAATTAGAATACTTTGCTACTTAAATTAACATATACTTAGAATTTTTATATCTTCTTTGGTTTGAGAATTATAGCAAAAATTAAAGTTAATCTACTAGATTTGGATAGAAAATTGAATAAATAATACTTCTTAACAAAAAGCAAAAGTTTAAAGTATATAGAAATTTCAGGCATAGTTCACTCTATTATAATCCAAAATTAGAAATACCACACCTCCCATAAAGTTTGAGATATTTACAAAAAACTGAAGTAGATAATCCGAAATCGAGGATAATCCACTTTAGTGAAACAGACCGATTGTTCCCAATTATTGGTCTATGTAAAATAGGAAATAAAACAAAGATTTCATCCTCTTTCAAAAATTTAGCTACACATTTGAGTTTTGGCGACATATTAGTGTCATGGAGTTTAGTTTGAGAAGCACTGACCTAAAACTTCTGAATTTTAACATACTTCATACTTAAAAGGATGAAGCAGGGGGTCTGTAGAGAGTCAAACCTCAAATGAAATTTGGAAGGAAACATTCAAATCTATGCTATGTTGGTCATCAACGGCAGATGGACGCTGTAAGCAAAGCATATACTTTGATTTTCAATCTAAAACAAACAATTAATTCCCATGAACCTATTTGTAAAATTCAAAACCTAAATGTCCAAATTCCATCTCATAAAAATCTGCTCTCTTAAAACCTTTACAGCACAAAAATTGCTCCATATTATTTGGTGCAAATCGAGGATTATTTATATTTTTTAAAAGAGCTATTTGGAATTTTCTATACATCCAATATATTTACATCCGATATGTTGAATAAAGTTAGACACAATATGTACAACCCCTCTCTGTTTCTATGCTGCATGCTGTACTAGGGAGTACAATATACATAAATTTTATTTTCATAAGCCGCGAGTGTAACCCCAATTTGGAAGCACACAAATAACCCACTCTCTTCTTTTCTATGGCTGACAATAAAGGCAAGGAAAAACTTTTCCTCTCAACTGCCATTGAAAATCCATAAATATTTTTGCTGCCATCAATGGAATGGAATGAATGAATGAGGGGTCATGATTGTTTGGCAAACGATATAGATGTGGTGGGAGGAGGACATGAATAGAGAAGCAAATGGAGAAAATAAAATTCGATAGGAATGCGACTACAGATTATCAGGTAGAAAGAAAAAGATGGACAAATGGAATTTATCGCATGGCTTTTTTGTGCTATGAGATGTGCAAAAATGTTTTCTATTTACCATCTAAATGTCTCATGGATCTGGTTTGATTAGCCAACAATCGAAAATATTCATCGTCATTGTCAATCTCTTCTTTAATATGCTTGAGTTCTGTTGGGATTATACTGCTACTTCCATTACCTGATAAACGCGATCCAAATGAATCTGTATCGCATAATCCACCTTCCGTATCGCTACAGCTGTCTTGTAAGTATTGATTTGACCCTAAATTGGATTGAGGAAGAAGTAAAAAGGTTTAAAATTTCAGATGTTGACAAATAAAACAAAATAAAGGACAAGTTTTTTCATTTTTGGGTCTCGATTCTATTTTGAGAACAATAGTTGTCCTATATGTTAAATAATTGGAACTTACTTGAATTTTCGTCTTTAATCTTGAGAGAAAGTTTACTTTCGTTTTCTGATTCCTCTTGTGACTCAGTGTCTTTTGGTTTTGTGCCTTCTTTTAATTGCTTCTTTTGAATCTTTTTTACTCTGTTGGAAAAATTATGAATTAAAATAATGAGAAAATGTTATTGTCAGTTTTGTAAAGGGTCGTTCACTTATCCATCAAAAAACATGATTTTTTGACCCCCCCCCCCCCTCCCCCCCTCTATCACAAAATTTCTGTGTAAAAAAATTTTCTTTATTTGAGCTGTCACAAAATTCTAGACCTAAATGTTGAACGTCATAAGTGAACGGCCCTTAATCAGTAAATGTGGTTTTATGATATTTTGGTGATTTGATTCAGTGGCAGTGACTTTGGTAGGACTTTCAGTAAAATCAGTACGATTTCTTGTAACTGAACTGAGCATTTAAAATCAGTTAAGATGTTACTTATGACAAAATCTAAATTGACATTTCCAAAGATCGAACATGGATCTTTTGAGTCAGCTTAAAGAAGAGAGACTAAGTCCACGGTCTGAAACATAAATCAAGGCAGGTTTTGATGTTAAATTATGGAGAAGAAAACTTATGTATCACAACTAAAGGACTACTCGAGCTTCCATATGATGAACTTGGTAAAAAATTCAAAACTTAACCATTCAGCAATTTTTATTGAGATCTTCTGGTTTCCACAAAGAATTTTCATTAAAACCAGCAACCAGATATTCTCATATTCCCAATAAAAAACCAAAAAAAAAGGTCCTCAACAGTCACTGCAACTGAATACTTATTGACAACTTTAAACAACTTCACATGAACAAAATTTAAAGTGAAATTCTTTAAAGCTTTCAGCATCGAAATAAATATGCAACAATTGATAGAAGTAGTACAAACTTTGCTCGTTGGTTTTGAAACCACACCTAGAAAAAAAAGGAGAAGAGACAGGAAAAATATTTTTATTAAAATTAATTCGCCCAAAAATATGTACAAGTTATATTATGTTACACCCGACACATACTACATAAATGTATGCATCCATACATGAGAAAACATTGTCAAAAGGCTCAATAAAAAAATGGAAGGATATAAAGGGCACATTTTTAGTGGAAAAATTTTCGACACGAATTTTTGCCAACATCAAACGACATTTTATGGTTGAATAAATTTTCATCCATGTCACAGATGTATGTATGTTGATACTCATTGCATATGATTTTATATGTGCATAACAAATAAATGTGTAGGTGACTATTTTACAATTATTCGCTACATGAATTGCTCTGTACGACAATTAATGTCGTTTGATGTTGTTGTTTTCGTTTGTTTCGGGAAAATGTTGGAGGTTTTTTTTTTGTTGGAAAAATTTTATAAAATAATTGAACTGAACTTGGACAGTCGCTTCGATTGAATTTTTTTAAAAATAGAACTCGGAATTTAATGTTGGAATGAGAAGAGAACTGAAGTAATAAATTCTTTGAATTGTTTAAGAAATGAGGAAATTTTAAGCACGATTGAAGGATAATGTGGATCTCAAAGTTCTGTTCTGGATCATAAAATTCATTCTTAATGCAACGATGTGATGAAAAGTAGTGATGTAATTAGTAACGCTAGTCTTTGTCATAAATCATCATATAAAAATACAATTATTGAACGATAGGTTTTTGACAGGAATCGAACTCAATTCCCAACACTTCATGTTTCGCGAATTTTCAAGCTACTGCTCTTCTTCTTTGTCACCAATGCCATATTTTCGCAATGGCAGATTTAATTTAATATGATTTGAGTGACTATCAATTTCAACCTGCATGTGAGTCAAAAATTTGATACTCGTGATTCAAGACCTAAGTCTGAACTTCAAAAAATGTTAATAGTTGCTAAAAGGCCTTTTGGCGCCCAGATAACAAGATTGATTATTGGTTATGTTGGATTGAAACATTGCATCCTTCTTTATTGGTTATCGAACCTTTGAATTTCGAAAATTTTAATACATTTTTAAATTACAAAGCATTGAATATTGAAATCTCCAAGTCACTAAAGTAAAATCTACTAGAAATATCCTTTTACGCCCTAAATATGCATTTTCCCATAAATTTATCCAAAACTTCACAGTCATACATTAATCATACTCAAAATTTACAGAAAAATAAATAAAAATCATGTATACCTGAACGATCCGTATTGAAAGCCCAGTATCTTTTGCTAAAGTTTCTCTAACCTTCCTACATGGCTTCGGTGAAACATCGAACGATGCTTTAAATGCTCTCCGCTGTTGAGTTGTCAATATTGTCCTATTGATAACATATTCATTAGATTTTTTATTCACTCAGACAGTTTAAGAATGTTTACCTAGGACGTTTTGGCCCTCTTCTGCCATCCATTCGTGTATGATAAATATCCTCACAGCAGTAGTCGTCTGGAGGTGAATTTATAGAGCAAGAAAAAGAGACTTTTTCGTTCTCATTAAAGTCATAAAAATTCGTCTTAAAAAAAGGAACTCACCATAATTATAGCCTTGAAGCATCTCAACTTCCTTTTCATAATCGGGGCGACAGAAAAGTTGACTTTGTTTAACGACATATTGATCGCCTTTCTGTAATCTCATTCCGCACACCACACAGATAAAGCATTTCAAATGGAACACATTGTCGACAGCTCGCATTACAAGCTCATCGCTACCAATTTTCTCTGCACATCCGAGACAACGATTTTTAACAAAGAGTCTTTAATACACAATATGAGTGTATGGCATCATCACATGTACAAGCACGATGAACATTTGAATGGAAATGTAAATATCGCATGATGTTGTCGATGTCGGGAAAGTGAAGGAAGATTAAAGTAGAAAGAAAAAAAAAAGGAAAATGGCTTTGATTATTTAATATTCTAGCTTTATCATCCCATAAATTGTTGCGCACAGCGGGTGTAGAGGAGAAAATTCCAAAAAAAAAACTCCCTCATCGTAAGGAATTAGATACTAAATCCTACACAATAGAATCTTTCTGTTCAGGCTTCCTTCTTGACAACAAACAAGTCTTAAATTTTTTTTCAGCTTTAATTTTTCATGCTTTAAATTTTTTTTAAGACAGATAAAAAATTTTCTTCTGCTTTCACGTGTCACAAATGTTTTCTTTCCTCTGTGCAGCATAAAATCTATAAATCGACCATAAGAAAAACTTTTCTTTCCTTCGTTTGCTTTTTGTGTTTTTTCGTGCCGAAAATACCAATTATATGCTGCATACTTTCATAGATACCATGAGAATGTGGAAGAAGAATAATCCATCAGGTTCTATAACTTGTGTTATTGGCAAGAAAACGTGTGCATGAAAACTATCTTAACCTTCATTTTGAGGTTTTGACTTTAATTGCGGTAAATAATGTTAGTTCATGTTAAATACATTAAAGACTTTTTGGTGATGCTTGAATAGTTTACATTTTCTTAGTAAAGTATGTAAATTTATGTTGTCATTTCCTTTGTTGAGAAATTAAGATGGGCTTTTTGATGTGATGGAAATTTTTGGTAATGTTGAGAATTAAAGGATTTTCTTACGCATATTGTTTGAATAATGTTTGTAAGAGCATCAGACTGAGGAGTGCATTTATGATAGTTTACTTAGAATCAGTTGACATCTCCTAAGAATTTCCTGATTTATGACAATCGCTGGATTTTATTTAACTTGTTTAAATTCAAGTTTCAGGTTCCGAACCCAAGAATGTGGTACTGATCAATGATGATCAAACTTGATTTGTCAGCTCTACATCCTTAATAATAATAATATAAGAAGGGCCCAGCCTTTCAGCTAGAGGCACTGCGATTCAATTTGTAAAGAATCTATTGTACCACATCCTTTAGACCTACAGTTTATAGTGGGATCCGAACCACTTGCAAACTCTGCACATTGCAAAGACACGAGTACGTCATAAGACCTGATGTACCCTGCAATGTACCTAGTCACAATTCGTATGCGCAAGATGCCGTAATGAAGTCATCTAGATGCTAGTATAACCTTGTATACCTAGCAGAGGAGGCATGTTCTATGCCAAAGACATCAATACTACACCCAACACACGAACCAAGCTTCGTAACTAGAACGGTGAAATGGAAAAAGAGCTTCGAAAATTAGACATGGCCTAGGATTGAACCCAGGACCTTTGGCACGTAAGGCCAACGCTCTACCATTTAGGCCACTGATGCCATTTCACCACTTACGCTCTACATCCTTAGTTGAACTCATATGTAAGAGCATAAGTCATCATTAGACATATTAATGCCATAAGAAGCCATCATCATAACCTTTATTTACTGTATCACTGTACAATTGATAAAAAATTTCTTGAATTTAACCCATTTAACCTCAAAAATCTTCATAAACTTGATGAACTTGAAAATGATGAAAATTAAATTAATTTCTATACTTAAATGATTGTAATAACCAGATTATTAAACAAACTACATCCACCAATGCCAAACAATTTTAAAATTCATTCAATAAATTACTCAAAACATTTCCTATTCCTAATCTTAAAGCATAATTTGTAAATCATCATACTTTAATTACAGCCACAATTCTTTCATCATTTCCAAAAATTCCCTCGAGTTCAATTTCCTCCTCAACTCTTTTCTTTTTGCTTCTTAAATAGAGCGCAGCGAGTTGGAAGAAGAAAATTTTTTATTATCTCATTAATGAGACAATGAGGAAAAATTACTTGAATAGGAATCGACAGAGCAGTAAGACTGTCATCACCTCCAAAATAAGAAGTCACTCGAGAGAGTAATTTTACAATTAAATTTAAATAAAAGAAGATATAATCATAAAAATAAATTGTTATATTTATAGCTTATTGTTACAATTATTATGAATATTCATCTCTGCTTCTATCCCGTGCCATACAATAAAAGCATGTACATGATAAATGAAAAATGATATTTTATTGTCATCAAATTTTTTAAGTGACCAAAATTGGTAGGAGATAAAAAATAATTTTATGGCATTTTTTGTACACACGTTTTGCGTATATCCAACATATGTTAACATTTTATTTGTTAAATATAATAAAAAGTCGCGTGATTTGTCATCTGAAAATTTGTTAAAGGAAATTTTTGGTCCTTCGTGATGCGACAATGTAATTAGGTATTAAATTGATATGTTTTTCCTATTGTTGATGAAGTAATTAATTATCAATTTTTCCTACCAATGCACTTGCAACCCCTTCTACGCTGTTGGCTATAGGGTAAAAGTGTTCAAAGGGTGCAAGATTCGCGCATAATTTCGTGATTAATCGTATTTTACAGTGACTTTTCATATTCTTTGGATAATCTACTAACTTCATGGCTGGAGTTTTTTGATGATAGAACAAGTGTTAAAGTTCCTAAAATTAAAAATCACCGCAACGAAAGATGATTTGGATAGAATGGAATAGAAGAATTAAAAGTATGAACTTTTAACATTTAACGACGTGTAAAGCGCATCAAATAATGACTTTATGTGTCTATTTATGTTCACGGTTCATTCCAAGACTTTTTAAAATCATAAAATATTGAAATATATGGTAACTTTAGAGTACCAAGGCACACAGTTTGAGAAACACTGTTCTTACTCAATTTGTTTTAATTTTAAATCACATATTGATGCTTAGCATATAGATTGATTAATCCTGGTCCAATAAACAAACCACACATCATCATTTTGAATCAAAAGTATAGAAATAAAATCAGGAGAAGTAAGAGAAGATTTGGAATATCTCAGACTTTACCCTGGGTACATATCAAGAGAGAAAAAGAAATATGTTGCTCAGGATTGGATAAATAATTTTTAATGAGTACTAAATTGAATGTCTGAAACCTAAAGAATTAGAAGCAAATAAATTTCCAGCTTGACAATCAGACATAACATTCTACATATATTCACAATCTAAATAAAATAATTGAAAAATCTAGCTAAAAATTGCAACCCCATTAATTTCCATAAATTTAAATGCTGAACTGTAAAAGGATCAGAAAAAATCAAATTAAATGTAATTATGCATCACAGTGATACAGAAGAGTAAATGAGGGAAATATGTTCTATCCCTGCATGTTTTTTTTTGCACTTCTCGTCTTGTTAAAGATCCTGTTTTTAAATACCCTAAGCAACCCCTCAAATAACATCGAGAAGCATATGAAAAGAGGGAAAGAGTCGTAAAATGATTTTCTGAATGTTTGGAATTTCATTTTTATTAAGAAATAAATGGCATATCATTGCATGATAATTCCCTCTGCTTAACTGTATGTCTTGTGTGTGTTGTGTGCAGGGTTGTCAAATATTTCAATGTACATTAACGAGCACCTGCTAGGGGGCTGTTTTAAAACCCTGATTTTTTTCCTCTAGCATTTGTAAATTCCTTGAATATTTTTACGAGCACAGAAATATGAATAAACATCAACACGTGCAATATGCTTTGCATTCTTTAAGAACTTTCTATTCCTATACAACATTTATCTTTTTAAAGATATTAAATTTACATAAATTCTTCATATATTTGGAAGCATTTAAATGGAAATGGTGAAAACACAGAAATTTTTCCAAAAAACAATTTTTCCTTTTCACAGTAATAAAATGTTTTTCCTTAGTTCCTCTGACTGAAATGGCAACGATAGTGGATCAAAAAATAAAAATTCTCAGTTGCTAAAAAATTTACAATTTAAATAAAATTTTTCGTCTTATTTTGCATAATTTTCATTTTCATGGCACCACAAAAAAAAGTTCTTGGTGTCATTGCTATCATTTTTGTCGTTTCTATCGTCTTTTGGGTGATTCAAGCTGCTTTTGTTTTGCATAAAATATCAAGAAGAAAAAGAAGAAGAGAAAGGGCTGATCTACTTTTTTGTTATCCTCATTTCGTGTCATTCCTTTCATCTTATATTTATAGAGCATCTTTAAGAGCGTGGTGGGACTCAGTTTGGAAATTGTCTTGATGTCTGTAAGCTGTTTGAAGGTTGTAATTAAAACTAAATAGGAGAACAGAGCATCTCCCTTGTTTCGATTGGTCCTGAATCTATATATTTTCTCATTACATGATCCATGCACCCTTTTGACTTTCACCAAAAGACACGAGTACATTAGAATTTGCAATATACATAGTCAAAATTTGTAAGCGCCAGTACCTTAGGAAAGCCATCCAGATATTTTTGTATTCTGGTATTTCTAGCAATGGAGATCTTGCCTCAAAAATATTACCAACATACGTATCTTCTTCCCATCAAAAATGGAAAAAGTAATTCTACAACTTGATTTGACTTGGGTTTGAACCCAGGACTTTTGGTATGCAAGTCCTACGGCTCTACAATTTAAGCCTTTGATGCCATTTTAATTATTTACCATATCTCTGTCAAATACTAATTGTATTAAATCTTAAAGCACATTCATCGATTTTTGATTTTAGATCATGCTCCGAGTAGCCCTAATAAGCTTGATTCATTCCTAAACTAGATATTTCATCTTTAATTTCCTTAAAAAATGCACACCAAACTCAATCATCCCATATTTTTCCAACTCTTTCGTTCCTTTTTTCTTCTTCACAATTAAACCGAAAGGAAAGTCCTTGTTTGAATATGTAAATGAGACCATTGCTTCATTGGATGGGATCATTGTGAATGGTTGAAAAGGTTGAACACATAAAAAACAATTTTAGATGGAAACCTTTTCTTGTAAATGCAAATTTTATCCTTTTCTGCTACCTTCATTAGTTCTTTACGACTTACGATTGAGAGAGTTTCAATTCATCCAGATGCTTTCAATTGCAAATCTCGCATTGTGCTTTTCATTAATAGTAAAAAAAAGAGAATGTCACTTACCTCTCATAATCTTTGCGGCAAAATAATTTATTATCGCGTTGATAGCATGTATTGTTAAGATTGCAACAGCATGATATGCATTGTAAGCACCTTTCATGGTAGGCTGTCTCGACTACTTTCATAATATATCGATCACATATTGGTTGCATGCATCCACCACAAATTACATTTGTCATCGATGCTATTGGTGTTGATGTTATTGCAGAACCTGTTGATGTCGTTCCACTGGACAATGGTGATTTATGATGATTATGATGATGATGATTATCGGATGGTGACAAAACATTTGAATTTCCTATATGATTTGTTTGCTGTTGCAATATTGGCGATGGATTTATTTGCGTCATTATACCTGAACTATCAACTATTCCGGATATGGAAGTGGATGCTAAATGATTACTATTTGCTGTGTTGCTATTCAAATTGTTACAATTTTCATTTGATATCGCAATTTGAGATTGCTGTGCCGTAGAACATTTCATTTCAATGGGAACTGTAACAGGTGCATGGTAAATAGTAAGTGTGATTAGATAACAAAAAAATAGTGTTGAATAAATATTTAAATTAGGAACAGAAAGGGGAAATAAGATAAAATAAAATAATTCTTTTCCATGTTATTTGCCTATCGTGGCAATAAAATATCAACATTTGCTCAGAATATTCAATTGACTTACACTAAAATTTAACGAGATATCATAAATTGAAATTACAAAAATTGTTTCGAATTTTCCCGCCATTTTTGAAAACGAAATGTTTAAATTAGAATTTTTGACTTATTTCAGAAGATAATTTGCAAGATTACGAGGTTTTTTTGCTTGCTCACAAAATATCTCCTGATTTTTGCATTTTTGAAAGAATAAAACACAATGCTCGATAAAATATAGCTTAATAAACATTGCAGGTGAGAATGTAAACAGTTTTTTCGACGAAATCTTTCAATCAGAATTGTTCAAAACACAACAAATTTCATTTAATATCCAATTCAAAAACCTCAATTTAAAATTTTAAAGCTACAACGCAGCTTTAATATCGTTCCTTAAAATCAATAAGAAACTTAATCGATTTTTCCTTCCTTTCACCACTCAAAAATGATAAATATGTATAAACATTTAACCTTATTTACCAAGTTAAACCTGTAAAACCATTTTCGCATCTGATACAGCAACAACTTTCTGTTGTGATCCGAAAAACATGAAGAAATAACAAAAACAAAAGAGAGAAAATTTATTACGATTGGTGGGTGGTGCGAGAAAAAAAAACGGAGTTGAAAGGAAAAAGTTTTTAAGCATAAACATAACATAAATTGAATAAGAGTAAAAAATAGTTTCATTGCCACTGCCTCATCCCATATTATCATCGTCATCACTCAAGCTTGAAAAACAAGAGAAAATTGTTAAAGAAAATTTTTCAATGGAATCAGAGAAAAGTTTTTTGAGATTCAGATTCTTTTAGTATTTTTTGAGTAAGTTGTTTTCATTTGTTAGGATTAGGGGCTGCACCTTACAGAGTCTGTATAGCTACGAAGGCTGATTATATTTTTAAAGTTTTGAAAACTGTTAAAATTCAAATTTATTTTGTGATATTATAAGTCCTTGAGTTTTTAGATCAAAACAGATTTTACAAAAATCAACAACAATGAGGAAAATCAGCTCAGAACCGTCTTTCAAATTTCTCTGTCTTGCTGCTGAGACATGCTGTACCCTTAAATCCTACATTAGTTTTTTTCCTCCTTAAACTTTGTGCATAATTTTCACCCCAATTTCAGAAGATACTCAATTGCTCCCGTCATGAACTTTAATATGTGAGCACGGCATGGCATGTATATTTTTGATGTTAGAACACCTGTTACAAAGCTAGAAATGCCTTTTTTGCTTTTATTTCACATGACAGCATGGTGTTTTGATCTGATTATGTCGTAGAGTTAAAAAGAGATCAGTTTAAAAGATTTGTGTCATGATTGATGAATGCAATAGAATATGTGTAAATTTGTAGCGCCAGTTGATATCGCATTGGAATAGGATTAAAGTATGTAGAAAGACCTTAAAGTCTTTTGTAAAATGTTCGACAATTTTAAGGTAGATGGTAGGGTTAAAGAATTTAATTTAATGGGATTAGACTTTTTAAGCTTTAATGATGTTTAAGATTGTATTATGTGTTCTTGTTTCCTTTTGTGAGTCTATGAAGCATAAATTTATTGACAACATTTAATAAAGAATAACTCGAAAAACACACGTCAAAACTTGAACTGTACACATTTTTTTGGCTGACAGCTGAATGTTGCATGTCAATAAAGTTGCAAAAAGATCTCAAACAGGACCTAAAGAGAGCCTAGGATCAATATAGAGAAAGATAAAGGGCACCAATTAATGGATTTGAAGATTTAATGTCTCTTTTTCAATCTGACTCAACCCATCATACATATTGATAAATAATACACAAAAAAATGCACATCCCTTGACATGACACATCGCATAAAAATTAACACAATAATTAAAACACAATCTCAAATAAAAATTTATTACTGTATCTCCTTGTATCCATCAAAAGACATTTTTAACGAACTCTGAATAATAAAAGACGAATAATGATAGCAAAAATACATCCACAGACATAGACATAGCAGCAGTTGAGATAAAAATGATTAAACTTTTATGCCACATAAAAAAAGTATATCCGTCAATATTAATATTTTATTATCATCATTCTTTTGATAAAGTTTGTTAACTACGTGTAGGATTATAAACTGTTTATCGTTCCTTACTCAAAAAAATGTATGGAAACAACCCCTCAGAGAATGCTTATTGTTTAACTTAAATGCCAGACAATACTAATCGGATTATAGTTCCAACAATATGATTCAGATCATATCAGAAGAGGATTGTGAAAATGTCAACAAATTATTTAATTGTACTTGGAAAAAAAGACTATCCATCTGGATAATCACTAATGCTTATGCAGAAGTCAGGTTTAAAAATATGTTGATATTTTTACGATGAAAATTTTTTTTCGTTCAATATTTTGACAGCTTGTGATTTAATGACCCGAAATTGTAGTTCTTACACATTTTCATTGAGTGCCAAGTGTCATTTATGCTCGATGCTGCCGCATTGGTAACATGACACGCGTTTGTAATGTCAACACTTTATGGTAATTTTCTCGAAACATAGAAACACAAATTGTGCATGAAAATGAGCCAATATGGAAAAGAGTTGAGAGAAATTTGTGTTAAAAGATTCATAAAGTGTCATGTGACATGGGTATTAAGAGTAACGCGTGTGCGGGTGTCCTCTTGAATGTTTAAAATGTCTATTAATTGATATTTTGAGAGACTGATGATGATTAATAATATTATTTTGTGTTTGTTTTATCTTATTTACATGATTTATTAAGGAAAGTTGGAGATCGGAGTAGAGAGGAATTTCGGGCATTGAGTCATATTTATGGAGAATCTGCCAATGCTATATCAAGACCTGTATAAGTCGAATGTTTAAGCTAGAGAGAAAGCAATTTAAATGCTCATTTAATAATTAAAGACATTAGTTTGATTCCCAACAGTAGTCAAATTATTAATCACTGTTTCAAAAGTGTCAAGATAGCTAAGAAGATAAGCAAAAGCTTTTGGAAACTGAATTTTAATGAGGCTTGTTTTCAATCGACACTAAGAACAAGTACTAGGGCTATTTGGGCAATCAACCTTTGTCATAGAAAAATTTCATTTATCAATATTTCAAACCAGTACAAAATTAATTCTTGTTTATGTCTCCTCGTTATGCCTATTGAAATACCTAGAATTTTTCGCAGATCAGTAACTCCACGAAGAATAGTTTGAGAACAACATGGGTTTTGGGTTACTTCCTAGTGTAAGTTAATAATAATAATAATGTGTGAAGGGCTCAGCCTTTCAACTGGAGGCACTGCGATTCAAATTAGAACAGAATCTATTGTACCACACCCTTTAGTGGGATCCGAACCACTTGCAAGCTCTGCACATTGCAAAGACACGAGTACGTCATAAGACCTGATGTACCCTGCAATGTATCAGTCACAATTCGTGTGCGCAAGATGCCGTAAGGAAGTCATCCAGATGCTAGTATATCCTTGTATACCTAGCAAAGGAGGCATATTCTGTGCCAAAGACCTCAAAACTACACCCAACACACGAACCGAGCTTCGTAACTAGAACGGTGAAATGGAAAAAGAGCTTCGAAAATTAGACATGGCCTGGGATTGAACCCAGGACCTTTGGCACAGAAGCCCAACGCTCTACCATTTAGGCTACTGATGCCATTTCACCGTTTAGGGTAAGTTAACTAGGCTAGCTTTAGAACCCAGTCCCTAGTCTTATTAACTGAAGCAACAAAGACATTTGCATACTCTATCATGCAGTTTGTTCACTGAAACCCCTAAAATACATGATGCTTCATAAAACAATATAAACTTTACTAATTAACTTTCTCGTGACAAATATTTTGCACCTTATATGTCAACATTTCTAAAAATTCAAATGAATGAAATTCCAACTTTTTATTAAATAAAATAAAATAAAAAATATTTTCAACGCGCAATTGTTATGAGCATAAACAAGAAAGAAGGAATTTAATGCAGAGGAAATCAACACTTTAAAGCACGTATTTAAAAAGGCGGAAAATACATACAAACAATTTTCCACTTCTTCACTTTCGCTGAATTGAATTCCATCTTGCCATGCTGCAAGCAATTTTCATTTTATCACAAAACTCAACAATGACTTTAGTCGCTTCTTTTATCATCAAGCGACGATGTAAAAAAGAATTTTAATAAAAAAATATAAATCGCTACCTGGTTACAATGTGTATGGAATCTCATCCTATGTGAAGTTTATTTCCACATGAAGAGAGACAAGCAAGCACTCAAATAAAAACGGAAGCAGCAAAAAGAGTTAAAAAATTTTTGGTTTCGAATTCAACATGATGGTTTTGTGGCATCACAAGATAATATTTAATAAAATGTTTGTAAGGAAATTGAAATTATCATCTCATGTGGAAAGCTCATCATTTCCACATCCATCAAAACTCATTCATTAGAATCAGTGGTTCTCAATCTTTTCAGGCCGTGTACACTAAATCATCTGTTCATCTTTACGCGTCACTGTCGCTGTTACTATCGAAACATCTTGACTTTTTAGCGGAATATAGGTTGAGAACCACTGCAATAGATTCCTTTTTCGTCGAATGATGAGGAAGACAAGAAAGAAGAAGCCAATATTGAGCATAAAAGCAGAAAAAACATAAAAAGGATCACAAAAGAAGGTTATAAAAACTTTTCCCTCGTTCCAAGAAACTCGTTGCTGACTAGAAAAAGAAATGGCGACGAGATGAAGGAAGATGAAAAAAAATCGATAAATGTGCGATAGGCAGAATAACTTGTGAAAGCAAAAAAAATAAAGGAAATGGAAAAATGCCGACGGGCGGGAAAAAAAGTTTGTTAAAAGTTGACTTACAAAATGGAAATCCTGATGCTGGTTGCTGATCAATCATTGCTTTTTATCCACAAAATATATATTTTTTTTTGGTATATTTTGTTATGCTTAAGGTTTAAATTGTTAATGACTTTCGAACACAATTTTCTATTATTTTTTCATATTTTCACAATTTCACTTCAAACTAGATTGCTGTCAGTGCCACTCATTGAATCCTATCACTAGATTTTTTTTATCATCAAATATTATCCGAATTTACTTTTGATCACAAAAATGCAATAAATTATTGAAGCCTTTATTTCGATATTTTTATTCAATCTTTCCGTTCCGGATGTCTAATTTATGTCCATCAATTGAAACGGTGCGAATTGCAGTTGGAAAAATATAATTTTTCAAGTCTCATGAAATAATTTTTTTGATCTTTTCCTTCGTCTATGACACACAAATGGTGCGCAACATTTCTGTCTTTTTCATTTCCCCTCCGTGAATGCTATGTCAGACGGACCAATGGGAAGAGAATGTCAACGCCTATAAGAAATTTTATTCTCTTTCTAGCTCAACGAACTTCAGGGGTTTGTGATGAATAGCTGAATTACACATTACTAAATACTAGAAGAAAATTGCTCCTCTGTAATGAATCTCTTAAATGGCACCAGAATCTTAAGAGAGAGAAGATTAATGTTAGAGCTGTTTGGATTATTGGGACATTCACAAGGATCATTAAAGAGGAAAGAAAAATTTCACTTTTTACGCTTTTTTTTCTCATGTCTTTTTATTTTATTTTTTTTTTCTGTTTCTTTTTGAGCCATTTTTTCCGTCTTTTACATTAATCTCTGTCATTTTTAAAAGGTTTTCACGAGTGGGAGAGAATTATTCGTCAGTTAGGTATGGGTGGATGGTTATACAAATTATTTGCAATTTTCTTTTTAGTCAATTCATTCTCAACAAAAAAAAAGAAAGCAATTATTTAAGGAATTAGAATAAAGGATGAAGAAGCAGAAGATTAGCATATGAATTACATCAATTTTAAAAAATGTTTTTCTTTTGTCATGTTCTGTGAGTATCATGAAGTTTAAATAAATTTAGCGGATGGTTCTTTAATGTTATATTACTTTGAAAGTTATATTAAATGTGACAAATATGATCAATTCAACTTAAGGATGCAGAATTGATCAAAACTGGTCATTCGATCAGTTGATCTGTATTTGATTAAAATTCAATAAAGTTTTGGTGTTCTATAGTTTGATGTTTTTGATATTTTAATAAATGTCTGATTTTTGGTTTAAAAAATTCTATGCTAGAAAAAAATTTGGAATTTATGCACGAAAACTTCCAATACGTAAACTAATGGTAGTGGTTTTTGCAGCCAGTCCCAAATGTATAGGATCCAAAAACAAATTTCAAAAGCCCAAGCAAATATGGTGCCTGAGCAAAGATAAATCCGGGGTATCGAGCCATATTTATGCGACTCTGCTAGTGTTAGACTTAGACCTCAGTATCACGAGTGATTGAACAACAGACCGGATATTTGTAACCCTATTTCTAGAGGAAGTGGGTTCGATTCCCACCAGAGACCGATCTCTAAGTTATTACATTAGAGTTTTGTCCATATGACAAATTTTCGCACAACGCTCACTACATTCCACAAAGTATGAACTTGAAATCGTAGTTTAAAAATCTAAAATTTTTGGCTTACACTATCAATAGCTTTCCGAGCATTACTAGCAATCTTTAACAGTATATATACTAAAAATCTGCCTAAAATCTCACACTTAAGTTCATTTAAGACTAAAATCAAAAGTTTCCTCTCTTTGACTCAAGAAATTGTCAAGAAAGACTCAGACTCTCTACCCCTAAAATGATGAGCTATACTAGATAACGTTTATATATCTTTACGCAGAAAATTCCATCCATTCCAAAGTAACCAAGCATTAATTAAATTGTAAAATTAGGAAGAAAATAGCACATAACGCATGAATGAAACACTAAAATCATTAACATAATAATTATTGCATTTAAATGAACTTAAAGATGAATGACTAGCATCTCACATATTATAGAACTTAAAACCAAAATTTGTCAGAATTTCCAATATTCATATATTTCAGATTCCTTAATTTAATATTATCATATTAGTTGGTAAGTTTGGTATTCATTGGACTAAATTGTTAGTCAAGCAAATTGAAATATTTCAAACATCATTTTTAGTTGCACAAAACTTCATATTAGCAATTATGTATTTGAAATTCTGACAATTTTGGATCTACACAATAAATTAATAAATTAATATTATAGGACCTATACTGAAGATCAAGTGAATTTAATTAAGTCTAACAATACGATAATTAAATATATATATTTTCTATATTGACTTTTCATTTGATAAATAAATATTCTTTAACTGGATATGCTCTACCTCATGACTTTTAACTATTCAAGTTATAAAATTGATAATTTCTTTGTCAATAAATTAAATCTTTGGGGTTTAACTTGGGTTTATACATTTAATTGTTTTATGAGATTTAAAAGTTAAACTTTCAAAAACTTCTTTTGATTTTCAAATGTTTTTTTTTTCAATTTCTAATTATAATTTTTAAACATAAATGTTTCTGGATTTGAAATCTTTGGAATATAGAAGATGCAGAATGCTAAATATTCTTTAGATCAAACAATTTGGAAATTGGGTAGAATAGATTGAAATGATTGGATTGAGTTTGAATGTGTATCTGCTCAAGAAATCAACAAATAAACATAGAAGTGTATGATAATGGAATCTGGGGGATCGACCAATATTTAGACGAATCTGCCAATGCTAGAGGAAATCCTCTTTTCAAACTGGAAATTACTAGCTTCCTTTTTTGAGGGGATTCTGGTTCGATTCTTATTAGAAAAGTGTTGTTCATATGACAAGGAATCGTAAGATCCTCACCGCATCTAGGAAATTTTGCAAGGAAGCGACAATTTATTCAAGTTTAACTTAGTCCAAGATTATCAAAAATATTCTATAAAATACAAATCCAGAAACACCACTTCCTTATTATCCAATAAATTGACTAGCTTTTCGATATGCATCATTAAATAAATTTTAATTTTTTAAACGTTTTTAACGTTTCACATTTTTTTTTTGTCTCAGGCAAAAAGGTGAATGAGGCACGAGAAGGCTTCTCTTGAATAAATAAGCTAATAGCTAGACTAGAACGGAATATTGTCATTTATGATTTTTTTTCTAGAAATATATTAATCTTTTAAAGGTTTTTAATTCTTACTTTTTTTTAAAATAATTCTTTTTCTATTCAATAGGAATGTAGTACCGGTAATCATAAAATGACTAGATTTTTTGCTTGATAAATAAACTTTTTTTTACTGAATAACACAAGCGGATGTTGCTTCTTGGTTGTTGTTATCCAATCGGTGCTTTATTCCTTCAATATAAACTTCACGGTTGAATAATGCTGCTAAAGGAATTCTACAATTAAATATTAAAAGCATTACAGCCATGTCATGTCAATATAAATCCCAACTTACGAATCAACACCCGGTCGCAATGCATTCTTAAATAAAGCCCACACAGGTTTATGATCGGACGAAACAATTGATTGAACAGAATCATAAGCAATGCATTTAATGGGTGAATGTGGTGAAGTTGGACGTGAGCTGGATGTCATAGCACTCGGTCGTCGTAAACCAAGCGGTGGTAACTTATATTTGTACAATATTCTATCAGTGTAAGCTGGTGCTCGTTGCTTGGATGATGTATCAAATTGCTGGGTTCCTACATCGTATTTGTAGGTTGGTGGAAAGTGAATCTTTGCTTCCTTAAAGCCTCTAAAAGCAGCTCCGTCTGCAAGCACTGATGTAAGTCTGGAAGATATGAAATATGTTAGAATTGATATTTTTTGATAAATTTTAGAGATCTATAATTTTATTTGAGCAGCGCTACTCTCGAGTAGGAACTACCCAACGACAAAGTTCAGGAGCTTCCCCAGGAATCAACAACTTAGTTAAATACTCAATAATCAAATACTCACTGATCAGTATGGAGATATCCATGAGGGAGATGACTAGGCAAAGGAAATTGTGTCTCTTTAAGCCACTTCATCAAATTATCTCGTGGCTCACTAAGACGAAAATTAAGATCACCACACCAGTAAACAGAATCAAAATTTTGAGTAACATCCTTCGCGCGATGCCTAACGTTTAAGTTTCTTGGTAAGTCTAACGAATTAATAATTCTCTTAATATCTTGAACTCTCTCCTTAACTTTTTGTTGATGAGCTGTTAAATGACTAGTAACAAAAAGCATTGTCGTTCCGAATAAACAAAATGATATGGCAACAGCACCTTTTGTTTTAAAATGTGAACCGGGTCGAACGGAAAGTGAAGCATCTTCAGGTTCTGAGCAATACCAAATTAAATCACGTCTCATGAATACTGCCAAATGTAAAGTTCCTAAGCTAGCTGAATGAAAGAGAACGTGTGATGGACCAAGGGTCTCTTGAAGAGTTACTTCCCATTCAAACTTATCTGAACATGCTTCTTGTGTTCCAATAACAACTAAATCTGGAACATGTTCCATTTTTGTCGGTAATATAAAGTCATTCATTTGTTTTGGTGGATTCTGTCCATTCATGTTCCAACTTCCAAGAAATATAGTTGCTTCTCGATTTGGACAAGCTTTTTCTAATTCAGCAGCACCAAGCAAAGAAATTGATGCTGAACGACCTTGAAGAAAATTTCTTTGGCGCGCTTTTTCGGTGGGAATTAAATGAAGGACTTGAGCAGCCATGAGCGTCTGACGGGCAAGAGAATCAGCACTAATACGATCCGGATCAGAGCAACATTCTTCTAGTCTATGATGATCTATCGTTATTGTATCAAATGATCCTGATTTTCGGTCGTCTTTTTTAACAGGAGGAGATTTATTTTGAGTTGGAATATCTGGAGAAGAGTTACAGTCCTTTAATGAGCTATATTGTTCTAGTGACGGTGGTAGAAATTTTTCACGAAATCTCGATCGACAAGATAGTAAAATTGGTGATGGATAGACGTCATATTTTGGAAGATTATAGTAAGCTGGTGAGCTTCTAACAGCCAAAGGACGTGAGGAAGATGGAATTGGCGTGGATGATTCTTCATCATTACTTGTAGCGTTTTCTATTCCAGAATCTGAATTTACCATTCCATTTGTCATGTCTGTCGTGCAACAAAAACTATATCTATTAATGCCTCCCGCCTCATTCTCATTAATATTCAAACTATTCACTAGTTCTAGATCATTTAACGTACTCAAGTCTGGCACGGAGTTATTTCTACTTCTCACATCTATATGACGTCCAACTGGCTTCTGAATCGACAAATTTTGTCGTGATACATCTTTTGTTGTAATTGATTCCATTGAACTCGCCTCATTATTATTATTGTTATGAAAATTCTGTTGTGGCTCAACCTTTGTTGATCTCTTGACACCCAAAAGTCCTAAAATTGGCTTATTGTTTCTTCTTACAACTTGATTAACAACTTCCTCATGCATGTTCATTATTCGAGCCTCTCTCAATTTAATTATATCACAGCATTGAGTTTCTCCTTGATCTTCTTCTTATAGATTCTTTGATTAATGACTCTCGTTATCGCGACGTAATCAAATCAAATTAATATTTTTTTTGTAAGTCTACTCCTTAATTTTTTTTATTGTTGCCTTACAATTTTTCAGTCTTCTAAAATTGAATAATTGTACTGTATATGCTAAAATATTACAATTTCACAATTTTAAGCACTTACGTGTATATAAGAGAAGTCAAATGAATTTTTTTTTTTTAATTCTGTGATGAAAATATTTATTGCGAGTTCATTTTTAAAATGTTACAAGTTCAGCTATGTACCCCATTTTCAACTTTATTCAATAGCTACATACAGTCGAGTTTCGTGTGCAATCGACACATGTTCCAACATTTTACCAAACTCACATTATCGACCGGTGCAAAAATAAGTCGCGTGCCCACACTGAAGAAAATTTTTCTTTCATTTCGAACGAAATAATTCAGTTTAGTGTAAAATTGTCAGTACAGAAAGCAATACAAACTAGTAACATGTCAGCTAACACGGTTCTCCTTGACTTCTCCATCGAGCCATCGCGAATTAACGATGAATTATCGCGCAAGGATATAGTTAAAGTGATTAAAGAAAATCTTGAGAAATATTTTGGAAATTTAAAAATGATCTATGATATGTTGGTTGACGATGGCTACATGTGCATATTTAATGATAGTTCAGCGACAATTATCAATGTGAGATTCTTTAACGAAGGATTAATCACGATTAACATTGAATACTACAAGAAGGACAATGACAATCAGAGAATTTCATTTGAGGTAATTTTTTTTTACTCTTTTGCTAATTTTCTTCTTTTTCATACTCAATATCGTCATGACTTTCACATTCACTACATAATATTTTTTTTTGTTTCACACTCCGACATGGTCCAATCTGGTTCAAAATAAATTTTTTATTTTTTTTTCGGAAGTAAGAAAGGCAACTTTTAGCCTTATATTAAGTGTCTATCAAAATGCTCAAAATTAATTTTTATGATCTAAAATTACATGCTCACGAATGCAAATTAACCTGAACTCACTCTCACGTCTTTGGTTCTGGGGTGTAGCCAGAAAATTTGAAATTATTTAGACTAGTTAAGTCCTCGTCATACATAATGGGAAAACATTATAAATGATACCTCTTTGGGGTCGTTTTTCAAAAAAGAACAGTGAGTTTCCAGGAACTTCTATTCTTCTTTTTTGCCCCCCCCCCCACCCCCCAGATGTCATAAGTAAACGGCACCTTAGGCTTATAGTGATATGAAACTAAAACGATATATTAAGGGATAAGATCTAGTGAAAATCTAGATTTATTTGTCCAACATAATAAGATCCAGTTAATCTGCAGAACAAACTTGTATAACATAATAAGATCCTACTCACTTCCGTCCATTTTAATAAGAACCACAATGCTCAAAAAAAAATACTAGAAAAATGAGATAATTTTAGTCAAAATGAGAGTTGACTTTCTGGCTACATCTCTGCCAATGGCTTAAACATAAATTTTAATTTCATTTTGTTGTTGTGTATTAATATCTAATGTAGAATTTGCGATGCCTCGAAATAAACTTGAGTATGAAGTTGCAAGCAAAACGATCAAAATTATTACCGGCGATAAAACGTGGCGGCATTGATGTTTATCTTACAAGTTCAGGTACTCATTTTCACTGAGACATTTTCTCTCTATTTCCTATTTTTTTCTGAAAAATTCTATCAAATTTTTTTAGACACCTTTTTTGTTCATTTTCTATTTCCTTTGTTTCTAAAAACATAAATAAACGATTGTACAGAATAAGAACTGAAATACGAGCATCATGCTCTGATATTACAAAACTGAGAGCTTCAACCTCAATATTAAGAATATGATAAATAATCGTTTTGTGTGTGAGTGCTTTAAAGAATGAGAATTTGATGTGAATAATGTTGTATCCACTTGCATAACTACTAATTACTAAAATAATGTTTGATGCACAATGGTTGACTGCATAGTGATTATAATCATACAGTGTTGCATTCTATAAAGTAATTTTAATTGTGAGAATAAGGTATTTTTTATGACATGCAAAATTTCATTGCTGTAGACCATAACTTCAGCTATCAGTTGCTAAAATTCCTCTTGATTTAAATTTGTCATAAAGTTTCCTTTTAGAAATCAGTTTTGTGTTGATTTATACTCTTCTACGGTTCCTAGGTATAACTGATAGCCATATCTTCTAGTATAAAAAAAAGTTGATTTTGTGTATGGTTCCCTTGGTAGCCATAGAAAACAGTATGAAATCTCAAATATTATGACGTTTTCAAAACTTTTCCTAATTCATCCAGTGCCGTATCCAAATCCTTTTAATAACTCATGAGAATGCCTTCAGGAGCGAAAATACATCGATCAAATAATCACATGTAGACACAACAGTAAATCTGTTTGAAAATATTATTAATAACTTTCTTGGATGGAATCCAATATTAGTAGGAGTTACTATGCTATTTATGTTTCATGTGTCGTGTTGGGTTATCGACACTATATAATATCCATGCCAATGACGTAAAATGACTCTTCTTCTCTTAAGGCTGATTTTTATTTTTCCGGGAAATGACCTAGTTTCAAGTTCAGATTACTGCTTCGTTGGATTTATAAATGAAGCATGAAAATTGAAGGTTGTAGGAGGTTTTAATACTTGCAGCAAAAATGTTTTTTCAAGAGTGTTATAAATCTTAGCCTTAGCGTAGTTTTTTGAATTTTGGAACCTCATACTAAGTCAAAAGAAAGAAGGCAGTCAACATTTTCAAAAAGATACATTCGCGTAATCCTCAAGGACACCAAACTTTTTGTTTTTTCGAATTTTCCTTTTTTTCCTTTAAATAAATGGAAAATGGAACAATAAGCACGTGCGTAAAATGAAACATCTGCATTGTGGCGTTGTAGCTGTTTATGTTTCCGTATACTTGTCAACATGTTGTTGGTTGGCATTTCTATTTTCATAATGTCAATATCGTAAAGAATATAAAATGACTTTTAACAAAAGCAACAAGTTGCTAGAGCCACATTTTCACTTATATGAGCTATGATGGAACACAAAACTGGAGAATATTCTCAGAATCATCAAATTTATTATAATTAGAGAACAACCTTAACGACACAACGATTGTTTATCATAAAATTCTTTCTCTCAGAACTTGATCATCCAGCATCATCAGCATGTAATTTAATTCATTATTGTTTGATTATTTGTACTTTTAAAAGCAAGAACTTGATTATTTAAAACAATTTAAGATGATTTTAACACATAGCTCGTACTTTTGGTTGCTTTTAAGAGGTGGATATAGAAATAACTTTTTTGGGCATTCTTTAGTTTTTTTTTCTCGTAAAATTGATTAACAAAGTCTAGATCCACTGACTGAGCATTTTAGCGAAAATTCATGCATTTTATTTATAAAGTCAGCAAAATAATCATCTTTAAGATATTTGTAGAGATCCTTAGGCTTTTAAGATTCAAAATTATTTATGCTGAACTAGTTTCCTAGCTCTATCATCCAACGATTCTCAAAAAAAAAACCTGACCAGCTTGGCTCCATTAACACTTTAAAGACAAAAACTAAACTAAACACAAATTGGCCTTAAAAAAATTCTTTAAAAAAAATTACACAAAAATTTCTTTTCTCCATAAACTATTCCCATCCACAGTCATCACGGCAACTTGAAAATGCGCTGGTTAAAGAATTGAATTTATTGCACGGTCAAACTTTACCAGCATTGGATCGTGGCCCAATTGTCAAATATTTTCCAACAGCAGGTTTGTATTTCACATCAATAAGAACAAATGTGTATCATGGCATGACGTTTGCATGCATAGAGTACATCCATTAATTATAGTTTGATGTTATAGCATTAAATGCGTGCATGCTTAAATGCTTATTCTCGTACCTTTTTGTCTGTTTAATTTTTTTGTATGATTGTGACTTTGTTGGCAGTGTATGTTGTGCTATATTGTTGGGAATTTGGATTTTCAAAAGAATTCAACAATTCCAGCAACTTGAAAGAACCTCATTACTGCCAGCCTATCCCTATAAAAATTACTAACTCTTCATATTTTTCCTCTATTCCACATCTCTTACTCTAGACGAGCGAATCATCGAATATGACATCGATAAAGTCCTGTTCGATAAGCGCTCAGAATTCCAGAAAATTCAAATTGTTCACTCGAAAACATTGGGAAATATGTTGATCCTTGATGAGCTGCAGAATATAGCAGAAGCTGACTTAATCTACACAGAAACATTGATGCAACGTGGCAAAGAAGATTACAGTGGAAAGGATATTTGCATCCTTGGTGGCGGTGATGGTGCATTGCTTTATGAATTGTTAAAGGAGAACCCAAAAAATGTTGTTATGTTAGAAATTGATGATCTCGTTATGGAAGCATGTAACAAGTACATGAATTCTATTTGTGGTGATGTCCTTGAAGTCCGTAAAGGAGATAACTTTGAAATTATTATTGGTGATTGTATGGTCTGGTTGGATAAATACATTAAGGATGGTCGAAAGTTCGATTATGTCTTTGGTGATTTGACTGACATCCCGATTTCGGATACGCCGACTGGTGAAATTTGGGACTTTATACGCACAATTTTGGAGAAATCTTTTGCTGTTTTAAAGAATACTGGGTACTATCCTGTTTATTATGAATTTTTTGAATGACTTTTTCTTAAACTAAATTTGATTTCAGAAAATTCATGACTCACGGAAACGGAGCATCATGCCCTGAATCCTTAGAAATGTATGAAGAACAACTCAAGAAGCTCAACCCAACTGTAAAGTTTACTCGAGACACCGCATTTGTTCCATCATTCATGGAGGACTGGATCTTCTATCAAGTCGCATTTGAAAAACATTGATGAAATTCAACTTTGAATCTTCCTATTTATTAGATCAGAATTACAAATTTGCACTAGTTTGAATCAATACTTCCAATACACCCAACGCGCAATCCAAAGTTAGAATTTAGAAATTTTGATTTTTTTGTCGTGACTTAATTTTTTTAAAATTAAGATAAAATTGCATTTAATTGACCTGAAAGTTTTATTAATAACTTTTAAAACGAATTGTAATTTTAAAGTATTTTTGTGATTTTCAAGTCTTAACAATTTAAATAAATTAAATTTAATCAGATTTTATCCTAAACTATATCTTAAGCATTCATACTTGAAGAAATGGTTCTTGAGTCTTTACACTAATATTGATTCTTAAACAGTACACCAACAATTTTGTGGTCTAAAACTTTTAAGAGAGTTTTTTCAGGTCCGAGAATCTTCAAACACACTTTAGGCTGCTCTGAAAACTAAAGCAATAGATACGTCATTTGTTCATTTCATGAGTCATAAACTTAGTATTCAAAATGGTTTGACAAATGAAAAACAATTCAATCTTCTAAACATTAGTCCGACATTTGATCGAGATGCTTGTAATCCTAATCAATGTGGACCTAATTCAATCTGTGAACATGATGAATTTGGTGATGAATATAATAAGAAAGTCAGAGTTTATTGCCTTCGTGATAAACAGATTTATAAGAAACCACCAAACTGTCAAACTGATGTGAATCTAATGATAATTGGACACGAAATTACGTTCAACAATTGGCTGCAGACTGAAGACATCGAAAGACAAAGAAATTCTAATAAAAGATATTCAGAAATAGCTTGAAGCAGGTTGTAAAGATTGTATATCTTCGACAGATCGTTGCTATAATGAAAACGAAATTTGTGTCAATGGATCATGCATCAAAAACATATGTTCGGATTATTGTTATATTACATCCAACCTTGACGTCTATAATGGAACTTTGGAGTGTTTCAGTACGTTTGAATATTTGTATAATCCCTACCCAAGTAACCAAAATTTTCCATATAATCTTCCTTCGACGTCGATGGAAGATCAAATGTATCATTATTTATGTAAAAAAATACTTTATAAAAAAAACTTTTTAAAAAACCACGTTTTTACCCGTGGACTAAAAAGTAGAAAATAATTTTTTTATTGGGTTCAAAGGACATTGGTTTGAAAAATTAAGATTGATTTGAAACCCTATCATCAAAACCAAAAATGCTTTAAATTGCATTTTAAAACATATCTAGGTATTATAAATGATAAAGAATGCTAATATAGATATAAAATCGATATTTTTTTGAAAATCGCCTACTATGATCAAAACCAAAAATGCTTTAAATTGCATTTTAAAACATATCTAGGTTTTATAAATGATAAAGAATGCTAATATAGATATAAAATCGATATTTTTTTGAAAATCGCCTGCTATCATCAAAACCAAAAATGCTTTAAATTGCATTTTAAAACATATCTAGGTATTATAAATGATAAAGAATGCTAATATAGCACTAAAATCGATATTATTTTGAAAATAGCCTGCTATCATCACAACCAAAAATGCTTTAAATTACATTTTAAAACATATCTAGGTATTATAAATGATAAAGAATGCTAATATAGATATAAAATCGATATTTTTTTGAAAATCGCCTACTATGATCAAAACCAAAAATGCTTTAAATTGCATTTTAAAACATATCTAGGTATTATAGATGATAAAGAATGCTAATATAGATATAAAATCGATATTTTTTTAAAAATAGCCTACTATGATCAAAACCAAAAATGCTTTAAATTGCATTTTAAACATATCTGGGTATTATAAATGATAAAGAATGCTAATATAGATATAAAATCGTTATTTTTTCAAAAATAACCTACTATGATCAAAACCAAAAATGCTTTAAATTGCATTTTAAAACATATCTAGGTATTATAGATGATAAAGAATGCTAATATAGATATAAAATCGATATTTTTTTGAAAATAACCTACTATGATCAAAACCAAAATTGCTTTAAATTGCATTTTAAAACATATCTAGGTATTATAGATGATAAAGAATGCTAATATAGATATAAAATCGATATTTTTTTAAAAATAGCCTACTATGATCAAAACCAAAAATGCTTTAAATTGCATTTTAAAACATATCTAGGTATTATAGATGATAAAGAATGCTAATATAGATATAAAATCGATATTTTTTTAAAAATAGCCTACTATGATCAAAACCAAAAATGCTTTAAATTGCATTTTAAAACATATCTAAGTATTATAAATGATAAAGAATGCTAATATAGATATAAAATCGATATTTTTTTGAAAATAGCCTACTATGATCAAAACCAAAAATGCTTTAAATTGCATTTTAAAACATATCTAGGTATTATAAATGATAAAGAATGCTAATATAGCTATAAAATCGTTATTTTTTCAAAAATAGCCTACTATGATCAAAACCAAAAATGCTTTAAATTGCGTTTTAAAACATATCTAGGTATTATAAATGATAAAGAATGCTAATATAGATATAAAATCGATATTTTTTTAAAAATAGCCTACTATGATCAAAACCAAAAATGCTTTAAATTGCATTTTAAAACATATCTAGGTATTATAAATGATAAAGAATGCTAATATAGCTATAAAATCGTTATTTTTTCAAAAATAGCCTACTATGATCAAAACCAAAAATGCTTTAAATTGCATTTTAAAACATATCTAGGTATTATAAATGATAAAGAATGCTAATATAGCTATAAAATCGTTATTTTTTCAAAAATAGCCTACTATGATCAAAACCAAAAATGCTTTAAATTGCATTTTAAAACATATCTAGGTATTATAAATGATAAAGAATGCTAATATAGATATAAAATCGATATTTTTTTGAAAATAACCTACTATGATCAAAACCAAATTTGCTTTAAATTGCATTTTATAAATATCTAGGTATTATGAATGATAAAGAATGCTAATATAGCTATAAAATCGATATTTTTTTGAAAATAGCCTATTGTGATCAAAACCAAAAATGCTTTAAATTGCATTTTAAAACATATCTAGGTATTATAAATGATAAAGAATGCTAATATAGATATAAAATCGATATTTTTTTGAAAATCGCCTATTATGATCAAATACTAAAAATGCTTTAAATTACATTTTAAAACATATCTAGGTATTATAAATGATAAAGAATGCTAATTTAGATAAAAATCGATATTTTTTTGAAAATAGCCTACTATGATCAAAACCAAAAATGCTTTAAATTGCATTTTAAAACATATCTAGGTATTATAAATGATAAAGAATGCTAATATAGATATAAAATCGATATTTTTTTGAAAATAGCCTTCTATCATCAAAACCAAAAATGCTTTAAATTGCATTTTAAAACATATCTAGGTATTATAAATGATAAAGAATGCTAATATAGATATAAAATCGATATTTTTTTGAAAATCGCCTATTATGATCAAATACTAAAAATGCTTTAAATTACATTTTAAAACATATCTAGGTATTATAAATGATAAAGAATGCTAATATAGATATAAAATCGATATTTTTTTGAAAATAGCCTTCTATCATCAAAACCAAAAATGCTTTAAATTGCATTTTAAAACATATCTAGGTATTATGAATGATAAAGAATGCTAATATAGATATAAAATCGATATTTTTTTGAAAATAGCCTTCTATCATCAAAACCAAAAATGCTTTAAATTGCATTTTAAAACATATCTAGGTATTATAAATGATAAAGAATGCTAATATAGATATAAAATCGATATTTTTTTGAAAATCGCCTATTATGATCAAATACTAAAAATGCTTTAAATTACAATTAAAAACATATCTAGGTATTATAAATGATAAAGAATGCTAATTTAGATAAAAATCGATATTTTTTTGAAAATAGCCTACTATGATCAAAACCAAAAATGCTTTAAATTGCATTTTAAAACATATCTAGGTATTATAAATGATAAAGAATGCTAATATAGATATAAAATCGATATTTTTTTGAAAAAGCCTTCTACCATCAAAACCAAAAATGCTTTAAATTGCATTTTAAAACATATCTAGGTATTATGAATGATAAAGAATGCTAATATAGATATAAAATCGATATTTTTTTGAAAATAGCCTTCTATCATCAAAACCAAAAATGCTTTAAATTGCATTTTAAAACATATCTAGGTATTATAAATGATAAAGAATGCTAATATAGATATAAAATCGATATTTTTTTGAAAATAACCTACTATGATCAAAACCAAAATTGCTTTAAATTGCATTTTATAAATATCTAGGTATTATGAATAATAAAGAATGCTAATATAGATATAAAATCGATATTTTTTTGAAAATAGCCTTCTATCATCAAAACCAAAAATGCTTTAAATTGCATTTTAAAACATATCTAGGTATTATAAATGATAAAGAATGCTAATATAGATATAAAATCGATATTTTTTTGAAAATAGCCTACTGTGATCAAAACCAAAAATGCTTTAAATTGCATTTTAAAACATATCTAGGTATTATAAATGATAAAGAATGCTAATATAGATATAAAATCGATATTTTTTTGAAAATAGCCTTCTATCATCAAAACCAAAAATGCTTCAAATTGCATTTTAAAACATATCTAGGTATTATAAATGATAAAGAATGCTAATATAGATATAAAATCGATATTTTTTTGAAAATAACCTACTATGATCAAAACCAAAATTGCTTTAAATTGCATTTTATAAATATCTAGGTATTATGAATGATAAAGAATGCTAATATAGATATAAAATCGATATTTTTTTGAAAATAGCCTTCTATCATCAAAACCAAAAATGCTTCAAATTGCATTTTAAAACATATCTAGGTATTATAAATGATAAAGAATGCTAATATAGATATAAAATCGATATTTTTTTGAAAATAGCCTACTGTGATCAAAACCAAAAATGCTTTAAATTGCATTTTAAAACATATCTAGGTATTATAAATGATAAAGA